TCTGTGCTAAGAAAGAGGGGCTCTCAGGGATGCTGCAGACTACCCTCTGCCGCACAGACTGCTGGGCATGAAATCAGCAGGCATCAACCAGGGAGAGAGGAAGGCAGGCGGGGCCCAGGGGCTCCTTTCTGATTCTGCTGCTTTGTCTAGGACCAGCCTTGGGGCTCCTGCACTGGTCCAAAGAGCCAACCCGCCCCCACTCCCAACTTTTCCAGGACTATGCCTGCCTCCTTCCCCCTCCTTCTAGAAGGCAGCTTTGGGAAGAGAAGAGCACTGAATGTTGTGTCCAAAGACCTGGGTCCAATGCCTGTCTCCAATTGAGCAGGTCTCCTGACCCCTCTAGGTGTCAGTTTCCTCCTCTGTAAAATGGGAGGGCTCATCCCCCCCCCACCTTTCCCCACTGTCCCCAGCAGGCTTTCTCTCTGAGCCCACAGTCTTCCAGGCTGACTGATGGTCACCTTTGCCCACACTAGCACAAAAAGGCCCCTCCTTCCAAGGACCAAAGAGTCCTCTTTCAAGAGCCATCCAAGGCATTGTGGAGAAGAATGACCGGAAATCCCTCGCCTCTCACCTACTGAATCACGGATGGGAATCTCGTTCTCTCCTGCCAGGAAGTGCTGCCGCAGCATTATGGCCCCGGACGGCCAGCCCAGGGCTGGTGATGTCACCCCCAAGAGGCCACTCGGCCTGGCTCCCAAGGCCAGGTAGCCCCTGCCGTGCCTTGAGAGGGTAGAAGGGAAGGGGGTGGGCACGGTGGGCACTGGGCTCCTCGTTTTCCCTGTCTTTTGTTCCTCTGTGACTTTCTATTCACTGTTTGAAGATCTGAGTTCAAATCCAGCTTCAGATACTTACTAGACCCTGGGCAAATCAGTTAACCCCTACTTGCCTCAATTCCTTATCTGTAAAACGGGGACACACTGGAGAAGGAAATGGCAAACCACTCCAGTATCTTTGCCAAGAAAACCCCATGGAAAAACACGTGCCTACAACCTGTTCCAGGGGATTGTGGGCTAATAGAAATTGTGGCCAACAGATAGAGTTGTGGCTCTTGGGGTGGGAGTGAGGGGCAATGTGGAGTCGTGGCATCAGGAAGACCTGAGTTCAAGTCCTGCCTTCTAGCAGTGTGACCCTGGTCAAGTCACTCCCCTCCGTGGGCCTCAGTTTCCTGTGCTGTGAAATAGAGATAATCACTTTTGCATGACCTCCTTAAGCCACAGAGTGAGTCAGTCTTCCCCGAGTGCCTGCTCTATGCCCCAGGATCGGCTGTCTTGTAATGAACAAATGAGTGACAGAGCATTTATTTTAGGTACCTACTGTGTACAAAGCGCTGGTCCAAGCCCCAGGGACCAGAAAGTCCTTAAGGAGCTAACACTCTGCTAGAGGGGAAGACACATGGGAAGGCACAGAGCAGACGGACGGTCAGGCTCCTCTGCTGATGTCATCTCCGCGGAGAGAATAACCGCCGTTTCTGACGTTGAGCCATCCGATGGTGCCCAGGACTTGGGTCTTGAAAGCCCTCTTTGCCAGGTCTACAGGGGCTGTGGCTGCTGAGGGGGTGAGGGTCATTTCTCTGGAGGATGGCTGCAGAGGGCTGGGCTGGAGGCAGGACTGGGGGCCGGGGAGATTAATTCCCCAGGGTACAGGGTTCAGGCTCCTAGGCTATTTCCATCGGGGCTGGGGGAGATGGCAGGTGAGGTGGTAGCGGTGTTTTGACTCCCTGGCACAGGCCTCCTTCTGTCTCTCCATCAGAGTGCCTAGGTGGGCTCATCTTCCCTGAGGGTGGCATTTAGTGGGCATGGCTGGCCCCTTCTCCACCAGAATTGCTCCCCTGGCTATAGGGGCTGGGCAGGAAAAAGGAGATGGTAAGGGCAGCTAGGTGGTACAGTGGATAGAGCACAGGCCCTGGATTCAGGAGCACCTGAGTTCAAATCTGGCCTCAGACACATAATACTTACTAGCTGTGTGGCTCTGGGCAAGTCACTTTACCGCATTGCCTACCCGAAGAAAAAAAAAAGAAACAAAAGGAGATGATGCTCTGAGGATTGCTGCTGCTAATCTACTCCAATCCCATAAACTTTTATGAAGCAACTACTGTGTGCTAGCACTGTGCCAAGTGCTAGGAGTACAATTAATAATGAATACAACTCATGCTAGGAGAGGAGGCAAAGTCTCTGCCCTCAGGTCCTCACTGTCTCCTTCAGGGAATAAATCAAGTTTAGTCAACAAGCATTTACTAGGGGCCTACTGTGTGCCAAGCTCTGCTAAGCGCTGGACACAAGACACAGGCAGCAAGTGCTCAGCGATGAGTGTGCACTTAGATACTTTTTCATTCATCCAACTAGTCAATCATTCATTCATTTACTCACGACCAGCCAGCTAGGGAAGAATGGTAGGCAGTAGAGGGCTGAGCTGCACAGATTCTACATTTGAGAAGAGTGAGGTCAGCCATCACTGGAAGATGGCAATTAGAATGTGGGGCAGTGGATAGAGCACAGGGCCTGCAGTAAGGAAGACATGAGTTCAAATCCATCCACGGACAATTACCAGCTGTGTGACCCTGGGCAAGTCAATTAACCCCTATTTGCCTCAGCTCCTCATCTGTCATCTCTGATGACAGTTCCTCTCTGTGATCCATCCCCCTGCCCACTTTCTTCGTTGATTTCTACGTGAGCAGGTGTGGTCTTGGATGGTGCAGGTGGAATTCTGGTGGGTGGGGATGAGATCAAGGGCATGACTGTCCTGATGTGGGACTGAGCTGGACTGAAGGGGTAGGTCAATGAAACAAGAAGCCAGAGGGTTATGAGGGGACATCATTATAGACATTGAATAGACTGTCTGAACATCAGTAAGCATTAATTAAGCACCTACTTTGTGCCTGGCACTGTGCTAAACTCTGGAGAAACAAAAAAAAGGCAAAACTTAGTACTTGCCCCTAGGGAGCTCACAGGCTAGTGCAGCAGACATGCAGACAACTACAAATTATGTGTGTGTGTGTGTGTGTGTATATATGTATGTATGTATGTATATGTAGAGATGTGTGTGTGAATATGTGTGTGTGTAAATAGCAAACCACTCCTGGATCTCTGCCAAGAAAATCCCAAATGGGGTCATGAAGTTGGACATGACTGAAAAATGACTCAGCAATAACCACAAAACGTGTGTGTGTGTGTGTGTGTGTGTGTGCGCGCGCACGCAAAGAGACAGGAATATGAGAGAGAGTTCTCTGTCTTCCATAGCGGGCAAGTTGTTAACAACAGAAGGTGCAAAGCAAGGCAAGGAGAGAGGAACAGGGCCAGGAACGAGTAGAACGGAGATAGCTGGGGATGAGAGATGGGGAGGGTGGGGGGAATAGGGAGGAGAGCTTCAGTCCAAGCTGCCTGCAGCTCTGAATCACCTCAGTCCCTTAGGGAGCCCATAGAGGGTCACACCCTTCCCCATTGCCAAGGTAATGTTGATTTGATTATTATTTCCCGAGTGAACTGTGGAAAGGGGGTGGTGGGGTGCAGTGGGTGCTGCTGGGGTTCAGCCAGGGGCATGGCAGGTTACAGAGGGGCCACCCAGGGTTGGATTGAGTCGTCTTTCAATCCTCAGGGAAAACCCAGCTCCCAGCTGAGTTGACACCCACATCCCATAGCAGCAGGGGCAGGGTGTCTGGAGGACCTTATGGTGAGGGGTGGGAGGTAAAATGCCTGAGTGTGATCTCTTGGGTCCTTAGATGCTCGCTGTCCTCACCTGTGAAATAGAGGAAATGATCCCCACATCAACCAAACAACAAGCATTTAAGCACCGACTACATGCCAGGCTCTCTGTTAAGCAATGTGCAAACACCAGCACAGGGTTGCTATGAAGCTCAAATAAGAAAAAACAATGAGCTAAGGCCATCGGCAACTTGAACCAGCATTTTCTTTTGTAGAGAGAGGCAGTGGGGAGTGATGCCTGGAGAGCTGGCCTTCCTCATCTTCGCAGGGCCTAGTCACTAACCTCAGAGCTCACCTAGATTGTAAAAAGTGCGGACCTGCCCAGTACAGGACGTTTCCTCGCCTTCCTGGTTATCTCTGCAAATACAGGTCCAGCTCCTATCGCTGTATTATGGTATATGGAAAGACAGAATGAAGTGGTGGAGAGACTTGGATTCGAGTCCTCCCCCGGACACCGACTGGTTGTGTGACGGTGGATAGGTAACCCCTAAGTGCCCCAAGGCATTTTCTAGGTCCATCAGCAGCAAACGTATTGATTTAAATTGGTAAAGCGAGTCGGAGTGTTCTGTACCTATGAAAGCACCAGTTTGGTTCCAAACGCGCGCGCGCGCGTGTGTGTGTGCGTGTGCGTGCCCTCGCGCGGCAAACCAGACCTGTAGCTCTCTGTGCTGAGCCCCAGGTGCGTGCGCCGTTATCTGCGCGCCGAAGGCGGATGGAGGGGGGAGGGAAACGTGGGGACGGAGTGTGCCCGCAGATCCAGAGAGGACTCGATGGCTTCTTGTGTCCCGGACGCTTGTAGATCGGACTATGTGGCAGGCGACAGGAGGGGGATGAAGGTGTCTTTGTCCGAGGCAAGGAGGAAACTTGATCGGAGCGTTTCCAGTCCGAGCGGTCTAAGGAACTCAAGGTGGCTGGAGGGGAGAGATTCTCGCTTCAGAGCGCTGTGCCCTGGACCCTAGTCTTTAAAACGGATTGACTTGCCCCTCCCCGCTCTACATCTTAGCTCCTGAGAGTCTAGGAAACCTGAATGAGAGAGGCTAGGTTCGAGGGGGTGGGGGTAGGACGAGGCAATGCAGAGACACCCTCCCCCACCTCCATCCACCCCCACCACCCCGGGCCACCTTCGACCCCAACGCCTCAGCTACTTCTTAGGATCCGGCGGCAGGATTCCCACGCGCTTTTGTTTCTTTGCCTCTGGCTCCGCGTCCCCCGACTACTTCGATTGGCTGTGGCCCTCCGCGGTGGTCAGGGATTGGCTGCCCTGGCCTGGGAAGGGCGGCCCCCGAAGCTTTAAATGCCAAGCCCCGGGTGATCTGAGTCCCCAGTCTGGAGCTGAGTCAGAGAGCAGGGAGGGACGCGGGAGAGCGGCCTCTCTCCTCTCTCCCCTCCTCCTCAAACCGCTAGCTGCCTGTCCGTGCGCCGTGGCCATGTCTTCGGTGGCGCTGGAGATCCTGGGGCTGGGGCTGTGCATCGTGGGCTGGGTGGGCATGATCGTGGCGTGCGGGTTGCCCATGTGGCAAGTGTCCGCCTTCCTGGAGAGCAACATCGTGACGGCGCAGACCATCTGGCAGGGCCTGTGGATGAACTGCGTGGTGCAGAGCACGGCCAGATGCAATGTAAGGTGTACGACTCGGTGCTGGCGCTGAAGCCCGAGGTGCAGGCGGGCCGCGCGCTCACCGTGCTAGTGGCGCTGCTGGGGCTCGTGGCGCTCATGGTGACCGTGGCCGGCGCGCAGTGCACCACGTGCGTGGCGCCCGGCAAGGCCAAGGCGCGGGTGGCGGCCGCCGGCGGCGCCCTCTACGTGCTCTGTGGCCTCCTGGCGCTGGTGCCCCTCTGCTGGTTCGCCAACATCGTCATCAGCGAGTTCTACGACCCCACGGTGCCCGCGTCGCAGAAGCGGGAGATGGGCTCGGCGCTTTACATCGGCTGGGCAGCCACGGCGCTGTTGCTGCTCGGAGGCGGCCTCGTCTGCTGCGGCGCCTGCTCGGCCGCAGCCCGCGAGGATCTCCCCTTCCCGGTCAAGTACTCGGCCCCGCGACGGCCCACCGTGAACGGGGACTACGACAAGAAGAACTACGTCTGAGCTGCACGAAGGGCCGGGGGAGCGCGAGGGACCGGCCTGGAGAGCAGGGCGCGGGCGCACAGACCCGGACTGCAGCCTGGCGCTCAACCTGCAGGCCCTGGGGCTGGGGGCTCGAGGGCGCGCGGGGGATTGGGCCCCCCACGCCCCCTCCGACTGCTCAGGGCCATCCTCTCCAAGAGTCCGGAAAACTGGGAACTAAAGAGCCATCTGAGAACCTGTGGGAGGATAGGGTTTGGGCTGGGAACACCTCCCCCACCCCACCCCCCCGCGAATGCCCAGAGCCCCGAAATAAGGGTTCAGGGGCCAGCGGTGTGGGCCCCGCAGACTGCTCGGGGAGGTCCAGGTGCCCCTGAGAACCACGGAGAACGAGCCTGAGGAGGGGGAGGGAGCCATCCTGATGGGCAGCCAAGGTCACGCCCCCCCCCCCCCCCTGTGTCCCACTTTGCAGCTCTTTCCTGTGGAGCCGCTGAACGAAACTGCGCCTTACTAACTCCCTACACTAACCCCCGCCAGGCGAAAGCAGCCGCGGGTTCCAGCCTTCCAGACTGTTTATACGAAACAGATGGTATATATTTGATACCCTTATTTGTTTTATACTCCAGGTGGCACAGGGTGTAGGAGGGAGAAAAGGCCCCAGGCCATGGATTTCTTCCTGTTCCCCTACTACTTTACCACGACCCATTTGCGCTTTGGGATCCATGAAGGGAATTGAGGGCGTTACTTTCAGGACCCTCTAAACCCGACTTCTTGGGGCAGTAGAGGCCAACGGCTGAAGCCCAGGTGGCAACGGGTCTGCTCCCCACCCCACCCCTGGAGGGGGCGGCGCCCTTCGGGAGACTCTGTCCTCGATCAGGAGACGCTCTCCTGTGGGATAGCTGACCCATACACTTGGTTCCCCAGCCCGCAGCTTTTCGGGATGTGCCCTTTGGGGTCTGCCTCGGCACCTGCCCCTAGCTACAGATTTCAGCTCAAAGCCCGCAACCCTTCTTCCTTCCTTCCCTGCCTCCCTTCCCCCCAAGGGAGGAGGGAAAATCTACTAGCCCGACCCTTCCACTCTGGGAGGATTTGGAAACAGTCCCTCCTGCCAAGTATTTCGTGTTTTCAGAGATGCTGAAGAAATGTTTTAATTCCAAAGAATCGGTGTTAAGGTAGAGAGACTAACTGCCTTCCGTCAGCCTCAGGCCCAGGATCCTGGGCTTAAGGAGGAGGGCTGGGCTGGAGGAGCTCGGTTGTCTAGCTTTTGCTGGAGACTAGCCCTGGCTTTCTGGCTGAGCTATGACCAGCGCCCCCTCCCTCCCTTGCCGGGGAGGACAGCTGCCCCCTTCCTTCATCGGGAAAGGTGGCTTTAGGCGGCAAGAGACACCCCTTTCCAGCCTTCTTGACTTGTCTCAGAGTGGGAGGAGGCTGCTGGTGAGGCACTGTGCCTGCCTTGTCTCGGTTGCTCTGGGATGGAGTGAAGCGGGGTAGGTGCTTCTCAGTCCACCCAGCTCTGAATGTTGTGTAATCTGTTCAGTAAAAAGTTTCAATGTGCCCCTGTCCTGTTTCCTTACTGGCCTAGGCGTAGAATGGGGGGGGGGGTCCCCTCTGGATTCTATCTGTACATCCCTCCCTCTCTCTCATACACACTTCCCACCGGGGATCTAGCTTCCTTCCTGGATCTAACCCCCCTCCCCATCTGACCTCAGTTTCCTCCTATGTAAAATGATGTTTGCAATAGACAACTTCTAAGGCCCCTCCCAGCCTTGATATTCTTTGTTCTAAAGCCTCTCCCAGTTCTAGCATTCTCTGTTCCTAGGCCTCCTCCAGCTCAGTCTGTGTTCTAGGTTCTAAGCTCCCTTCAGCTCAGATCAGTCTTTGTTCTAAAGTCCCTCCCTATTCTAACTTTCAGCTTTAAAATTCCTTCCCCCTTTGACAGTCTGGGATTCTGTGTGTCTGAGGCTTCCCAGGACTGCTGGAAAGACGGGGGACCTGCCACTTCCTTCCTAGTCACTTCCTGGGTTAAGCAGCCTATGGAAGGGCCTTGTGGGAATGGAGGGAGGAGCTGTGCCTGGTCTGACTGAGGGGCACAGGCTTTGAGAGGTCACTCAGAGCGGGGAGGGGAAGGTCAATCGACAGAAAGGCCTTGAATCCGCAGTGGCAAACCTGGCTCTGGAGAAGGCTGATGTTCTGAGCTTTTTAGCTCCTTTCTCCACCCTCCCCAAAGAGCGCTTCATCCCTGCCTCTTCTCAGTCTCAGAGCACTGCTTTCTCCTCTCTGGGTCTTCTTCCTCCCCAGTAAAATCAGGGGGTTAGACACAATGGCTAATCATGATTGAGTGGAGATGCACTGATGAGAGAAAGGTGGACTCAGAGCACAGAGTGGGGCAGCATTTTAGACACTTAACGGCCAGTGGAGAAATTTGTGTGGCCTGCTCATATTTCTACATTACCAAAAAATGACAGGGGTGGGGGTGGGGTGAGATGTTAAATCAAATGGCTGAGAAGTCCAAAAATATCGGGATCAGAGGGATGTCATTCAGCCCAAGCTTACTTGAAAAACTTTTGCCTTGGGGAAGTTTCGGACTTTTTTTTTTCATCCTTCCCTATAAAATATCAGATCAGAGGTTACGGCAGAAAGTAGCTTTAGGAGTTTTTTAGATTGCTTGCCATCTTGGGGATGGGGGAAGGGAGGGAGGGGAAAAATTTGGAACTCAAAATCTTATAAAAAATGAATGCTGTAAACTATCTTTACATGTAATTGGGAAAAATAAAATTCTATTGAAATATTCTTCATGAACATACATTTGTACTATTTATCTGGAATAATTAATGTCATCTGGAAAAAAAATGGTTCTTCCTTGCCTCCAAAAAAAAAAATCCCTCCTCTTAAATTTTATGATTTAAGCCTCTGGTCTTGTCTGTTAGGCAGCTTGGTGTCACCCTGCAGCGGGGCCCCTGGGCGGCAGCTTTCTGTTCCTAGGGTGAAGAGACCCGGGCCCATGTTCAAGGTGGGGAGGAGATTCGTGGCTCGGACACTGAGCAGCTGTCACATATCCCCAAGTCCTCATCCTCTTCAGGCTTTAGAGGGACCCTGAGCCTGCCCCTGTGACCTAACCTAGGTAACAAGGTACAGTGCGGAGAAAAGGGAGTTGTGTGGAGGAACATGGTGTCCAAGCTGCAAGAAGACCACTCACCCAATTCTACCGATGCATCCCTAAGAAAGTAAGTCCCACACAAAAATCCTACAATTAGTTGTTAGCAGAGCCAGTAACCTAGGCTAACAAGTCAATATGCATTTATTAAGTGTTTACGTGTGCCAGATTCTCTGCAAAGCGCTGAGAATGCCAATCCAAGCAGAAAGCCAGGCCTGCTCTGAGAGCTTATATTCTGGTGGTAGGAGATAACACAAAAGGAATATGGCGGGAGTAGGGTGGCTTATGGTGGGCAAAGTCCAAAGGGGAATGGGAATACAGCAGCCTGGGCACTTTTCCTTCTCAGGAATCTTTGAGGAGCCAGCTGATCAGAAGGGGTCCAAAGGCTTCTGAATGCAAGTCTAGGAAAGGGCATATTCCTCATATCTAGACTCACTTTGGGGAGTGGGGAGGGTTCCAGAACTCCTCAGTGAACAGTGCAAAGCTGTATGGGGTGTGTCCATCCCTCTGGTGCTTATGTCTGCATCACTCTACATGCCTAGGGCACATCCCAAGGCTCCACTGTGGCCACATAGTCTTTACTGAGCTAGAGGGCAGGGGCTGCTGGGGCATGAGGATGGACCCCCACTCCTCCCCAGAATCATTGCCTATTGCCAGCCCCAGGGAGGCCCTGTCTAGAGAAGCCCTGCACTTGGAGTCAGAGGCTGTAGGTGATCAACAATTCACTGCCACTCAAACTGGGGCTCAGTTTCTTCATCTGTAAAATGAGGTAGAGCTATTTGGTTTCTAAGTCCTAAGACCAAAACATCCAAGTGCCAGATTTCCCCCTCATGCTCCAGCCCCTGTGGAGATATTCCTATGATGTTTCTGGCTTACCTCACAACCACTCTATGAGGTGATAACTGCATATTTCATCCCACCCATTTTATAGTTGAGGAAACAGGCTCAGAAGGGATGTGACCTGCCCATGATCACACAGCCAGAAGGGACCGGCGTTGGGATTCTCAAGCCAGATCCCCTGCCTCGACCTCCAGAGTGTGTTTTGTATTGCAGAAACCCCAATAACAAGTGGAAAAAAAGATGCAGGGTTCTGGAGGTATTTGTGGGTCCTTGGCCTTCCCTGGGCACCCCCTCTGCCATCTGGTGCCTCCCTCCCAGTGCCCTGGTGTCCTCTCCCCAGGCAGTTGAAGGGGAGGGAGAAGGCCCAGGTTGGAGACTGGAGGAGGAAGCCACAGGAATGTGCTTGGAAACACAGGAGCTTCAGAAAGACGGCTCAGCACATTCCCCAGAGGCAGAGCCCATCTGGCAGTGGGGAGGGGGAGCAAGGGAAAGACTCTGAGCCTCCCCCCACCAAGGATGCGCCTAGCACAACCCACATCGGGCTGCTGCTGCTGCTGCAATGGGAGGGCAAGGTGAATCAGGCTGTCTCCTTCCCCAGCCCCCTCCCCAACACATACACCTCCAGTCCCTCGGGACCTTCCCTGGCCCCCTCCCTATCCCACGGGGTGAGAACACCGTGTACTAGCCCAGTGCCCACAACAATAGGAACCAGACGGAGGGGAAATGCTGCCTTGCCCACTCTGCCCCACCCTGCCCCAGGCAGGCACCTCCTTGCTCCCAGGGTCCAGAGCAGAGCCCTGGGCTTCTCTGGAGTGTGTAGAGAGAGGAGAAAGGGGAGATGAGACAGGAGAAAGGAAGGGAGGGAGGGAAAGGAGAGAGGGAAGGGGAGAGGGAAAAAGGGAGGGAGGGGAGAGGGAGAAAGGGAGGGGAGGAGAAGAGGAGAGATGGAAGAGAAGGGTAAGAAAGCTACAGAAGAAAGGGAAGGTCTGGGAGAAGGGAGGGGACAGGAGTGTTTGGGGGGAGAGGAGAGAACAGTAGGAAAGGTACAAGGAGGGGCCAGGGAGAGAGGAGAGAGGGCCAAGGGAAGGAGGAGGGGCCAAGGAGAAGTTCAGGTTTGGGAGAAAGGAGGGGAAATCGAGGGGAGGGCTTCAAGGGGGAGGGCAATGAGGAGAAAAGACGGGAGAGGGAGGGGACAGACAGAAAAAGGGAAAGAGAAGGGAGGACGAGATAAGGGGACAAGCAGGAAGCATGGGGCCGAGACAGAGGATCGGGGAGGGCCGAGAACAAGGCAGCCACAGGGTGCGGGGGCTCCCTGGAAGCCAGGTTGCTCCTCTCTCATTCTCTCCCGACGACCCAGGGGCGTAGGCCAGTGACCAGCACGGCCGTGGGCTGAAAATCACCGTTAGCTCCCAGGGGGTCAGAAGGGCAGCGGCACCATCTGGAAGGCCCCAGTGCCAACACATTACCTCAGTAGAGCCCTCTCTTATTATTACACATCGGCTTCTCCTTTTAGGGACTTTGGGAGGCAGGGGATGGGTGGAGGCCACAGAGCCTGGACAGGGCAGCGTTCCAGCCAAGCCCAAGGTCTGATACAAAACAGGTACAAAAGCCACGGTGACAGACGCCTGGTTTGTGAGTCCCTTCCCTTCTGCAAATTCTGACTCTAAGCCCTTTGAACCCAAGCCGGCTGGGGGCCCACAAAGCAAATCTCAAAGGGCCACTTGGCTCTTACAGGGTGAATATGATCAGTCTCCTCCAGTGTGGCCACAGGTGAGACAGTGCCAGCTATTGGGCTAGTGCGGATGCTTTTCCCAAACCTTGCCCTGGCACCTCCGGTGGCTGCTGCTTATCCACTTGTAAGAAGCGAAGGCTAGCCCCTGGGCCCTCCCTACTCTCCCCGCCCATCTCTTATCCCTCTGGCCTTCTGGAGACTGTGGAAAAAGGAGATCAGCTGAGAAGGCAGAAGGAAATAATAATAATAATAATAATAATAATAGTAGTAATAATAATAATGATTGTTATTATTAATAGCTAGTATTTATGCAGTGTTTTAAGATCTACAAAGTACTTTACAAATATTATCTCATTTGAGCCCCACAAGAACCCTGGGAGGCAGGTGCTATTAAGATCTTCATTTTACAGATGAGGAAACTGAGGCAGACAGAGATTGAAATGACTTGCTGAGGTAAGTGTCTTAAGGCAGAATGTGAGCACACCTCTTCCTGACCCCAGGTCCAGCGCTCTGTCCACTGTATCACCAGGCTGAGAAGGGATGGAATTTGGTAGATGAGGGAGGACCGAAAGGAGAGGGAGCTGGAGGAGGAGGGAGGGGCCAAGTCAGCCTCCCTGCTGGCCTGAGCGGGTTATCGCTGGGGCCCTCACAATACCACATCCGGCCTCTGAGAGGCTGCAGAGAGGAAGCTGGGAGGTAAGTGGAGGCCAAGGCAAGTGAGTGAGTGATGGGCCCTCGGGCGGAGGCTGCCTTAAGTGGAGGTCTCTGCCCACATGGTGACATTTGTGAGGGGCTGATGCCCTTCTCATCAGTGGCTGGTCCCATGCGGTCATCTGAGCACAGAACAATGTTATCTGTCCCCCCTGCATGCTCAGGGAAGGGGGAAGAGGAGGGAGGGAGGCCCTTTTCCAACCTTGGAAAGCCAGTTAAGTGCGAGGCCATAACTCAGCCCTAAATCACCAAACTCTTGGGTTTCCCCAAGGGCATCTCTACAGGTCAACCGCCCTGTACTTTTCCAAAACATATTCACTGGCTGGACAGATCCCGAAAACCCAACCCTTTGGGGAACAAAACACCCTGGCTGAGCTGCCCATCCCGTCCCTAGCAAATGACCCCACCCCTCACAGTCAGAGGGAGGGATGTAACGGCAGTGTTCCGACCCTGAGGCTGACTGTGCCCACTGCTGGCCAGCTGCGGGGTCAGACAGGTTGGGTCAGAGTCCCAGCTCTGCAGAAGCATGGAGGTCTGTGGAGGGGACATGCTTCACCCAAGGCCCCCTCCACTGGGCTGTCCCCAACAAGCCTCATGGTCCCCCTTGTAGGATAAGAGTATCTTAAGGTCCCAGCCAGCTCTGGTTCCTGGGATCCCAGGTCGCAGCCAAGGTCACCCAGCTGGTAATGACCCACCACAGGCCACTGGGAGGGACGGAGGGATGGGAGCAATGTACCCCCACCACCTGGCTGTCAGGTGAGCGAGCAGAGAACAGGGTTGAAGAAAAACAACTGAGGCTCGTGGGTTCTTCCAAGGGTACGGAAGGGTCAGTAAAGGCCCTGGCTAGGCCCCAAAGACCTCGCTTCTCCTACAACTCTGTACAGAGCCAGGCCAGCCCAGCTGTCCCTGCTGGAAGCTGAGGTCTCTGACCTGTTAAATCCTTCGAGTGGATGCCGCTGGGCCAGGAGATGGCTGCGCCAACAGGAACCTAAACGCATCTTTCAGAGACTGAAAGGACTCTTGTCTCTGACCCGAGGGGGTTCCCTCCTCGGCCCCTCTACTCCTGTGCCTGGCTCCTGGGGAATGGCCCAGGCCAGGCTTCATCTCCACCAGATGAGAATGGAGCAGCCTCTGGGGTCCGTGGGAACCAGGCCTGGGTGAGGAATTAAAACAACAGATACAGGCCCCAAAGAAGCGCAGTTTATTGTGTTCAAAGGATATGATCATTTTTCCCTAGAGCTAAAATCTTGTTAATAATTTACACCCAGTCTATAAAAGCATCACAAACGTGCAGCCAGTATTTACGATCCAGACGAATTCGTCGGAAGGATTCCAGGAGCTGAAGGGAGAAAAAGAAAAGGCAAGGTGAGCCCTGAGCTCAGAGCCGAGGGAGAGGAAGGATGCAGCACGCCCATTTCACTGAGGGGAAATCTGAGCATCTGAAGAGCAGGGCGACTCCCCCACAGTCTGGGCCTGGTGGCCTAGCGGGAAGCCCCTTTGAAACAAAATAGTTTTATTCATCAGACTCAGTATAGAGTGCCTGGCACACAGCTGGTGCTTAATAAATGCTTGCTGATTGATTGAGTGGATTATTGGAGGTGGTGGGAAGCCTTAAGTATATGGGAGAAAGGCAGGGAGGCAGAGCACAGGAAGGGCTGGCCATGGAGTAAGGAAGCTCTGGGTTCGAGTCCTGCCTTCCTCCAGGCCCCGGACAGTCAAGCAGCATTGGTGGAGAGAGGAAGGAGGGTCTCAGAAACCATTTTACAGAGGGGGAAACTGAGGCCCAGAAGGGTGATCTAAGGCTCCTTTGGAAGAGCTCCAAGGTCCATCTAGTCCAATGGGGGCCTGAGCAGGAATCCCCTCCGGCAAGTATCTGACAGATCCCCGATCCTCCAGCTTCCACTTGCACACCTCCAGGGACACAGAACTCCCTCCAAATCAAACCAGCTGCCTTGCTGAGTCAGAATGGGCCCCTGTGCAGCCTCAGCCCCTCCCCCTCGTCCCGCCTCCTCCCCCAAAGGCGCAGCTCTCCCAACCCGTCACAAGGAGGGACCTCTCATTCTTGCCCTTGGATTCCTGGCCCACAGTAGGCACTTAGCAGGACCAGACCCCACCCGATCAATCGCTCCATTCTCCCCATCTCCAAGTCTTGGGTTTTAGCCAGCGCCCCCTACAGAAGAGAAGTCTGAAGCCTGAGAGCTCCCCAGATGTGCCCAATGGTGCGAAGAGAAGATGGGGGCCTCGAGGTGTGTGGGGGCAGTTTCCCTGGAGATTCTTAGCTTGAAGAGGACTTCCAGAGGCAGTCCTCTGGGAGGGAGGCCAGACTAGCTCTGCTTGGCCTCAGAGGGCAGGACGGAGCCTAACCAGGCGTCCCAGAGCGGGATAGTCAGAGCCAGCATCTCCGCAGCGGGTGAGGCTGGCAGAGCCCTTTACACACACGACCCACAGGGAAGGACATGCTCTTATGATCCCCATTTTACAGATGAGGAAGCTGAGGCAGACAGCAGTGACGCTACATGGGCCAGGTCACGCAGCCAAGAAGTGTCTGAGGCAGGATTAGATCTCAGCCCCGAAGGGCCACCAGGACACGGAGTGGGCTCTCCCCTCACTGGGGGTGTGCCCAGGGAAGTGTGGATGAGCCCCGGGGGAGATGCTGACCAAGGGCTCTCAGTTTAGGGGCCATCAGACGGCGGAGTCCCTTCTGACTCGGGAGTGAGTGCTGTCCACTGCTCCACACAGCCCCCTCCAGCTTCTCTCTGCCTCGGCCTTCTTTGGGAAGAGCCCCCGGACACAAGCTTCAGACCTTTCAAAATCCAAAGGCTTCAGAGTCCAGGGAGGTTCAAGTCCTGACATCACCTGGCTCCGACGCTCCACCTCTGCACCCTGGGGAGGCTGGGGGGCTCACTCTTAGGCTGCCCATCTGGCCTTTGTCAGACATAAGTCTGGGTCGGCATATTCGTTCCCGAAGCCGAGGAATGGTTTGCTCACGAGCTGAACCACGGCCAGCCCTGTCCTCCGCCAGCTGGGTAACCCTGGGCAAATCCCTTAGACCTGCATTGGCGCGTCTCCCCTTCTGGACTCAGTCTAGAAGATATGAGTTCAAGTCCTGTCTTGGACCCTTATTACCAGTAAGACCCCAATTGACTGACTTTGCTTCCTTTGGACTCAGTTTCCTCATCTCTAAAATGGGGACAATAATGACACCTGTCTCCCTGGGGAAGATACAATGTTACGTGAAGTGCGTTATAAACACGCTGACCGTTGTCATCATCAGTAATTATCCTCGTTCCAGCTCCAGATCTAGGCCCCTCACACTGCAGAAAGGCCTGCCCTCGAGGGCCGGCCAAGGGACGCTCCTGCCGCCCCCACACTCACCCTCATGACAGCAGAGAAATCAGTGCATCCAGGAACTTGCCTCGGTCTTCCACCTTGAGCTCAATGACTGAATGAATGAAGGAAATGCACATGAGGGAGAGAAAAGACTAATGGGGAAACCCTACCCCCCACCAGAAGCCATGCTCAGAAGCCAGGCGGCATCTCTGCTCCCCCCACCTAAGATCCCCACATCCCCAAGGTCTGGGGGTGCAGCTGCCAGGCCTCCTGCCCCCCAATAATCCCCACATCACTAAGGTCACGGGGGGGCTCTGGCTGCCAGGTCTTTCACCCCCACCCTCGTCATCCTCAGGAGCTGCATGTGGGTCTGACAAAGCAAAGGAAGCCGGGCCCAGGGGAGGGAGGGCCTGTAAACAGAAGGGCCTGCAGGGACAGAGGGGACAGGGACTGAGAGTTCTCACAGCGCTACTAATGACGATGACCCTCTTGATGAAGCCTCACAGGCAGCCACCACCAAAGGGGGCTTTCTGAAACATCTGCAGGCTGCACTCAGCTTCCACACCATGAAAAGCAGCCCTGAACCCAAGGGCAAGCGCCCGGGAGGCAGGCCTGCAGGCCCTCACTGGATGGAAGGGGAAAGCAAGGCCGCCCCCACTCCCTAGGAGAGACTTCCCAGGGTCCCACAGGCAGGGGGGAGCAGGGTCTGGGCTGGTCCCATGGGCCCCAACTGCAAATCCTCCCCACCCCAAAAGGGAGGGATGGCCCGGTCCACGGGAGGTCTGCCCCTGCACACGCCTGACACGGCAAAGGCAGACATGCCCAAGGTTCCCTCTCTTCTCTCTCTGTCTCTGTTTCTCCCTCTCTCTCTCCTTCCTTTTTTTTTTTTTAAAGGCAATTGGGGTTAAATGACTTGCCCAGGGTCACACAGCTAGTAAGTATGTCAGGTGTTTGGTCTGAGGCCGGATTTAAACTCAGGTACTCCTGACTTCAGGGCCGGTACTCTATCCACTGTGCCACCTAGCTGCCCCGTCCTTCCTTCTTTCTTTCTCTGCATCTCCTGAAAAGGCAGACGCTTTTCTCATCAACAGAGGGCGGCCGCTGCTCCGCGGGTCCCACCTGGTCGGCGGTCATTCTGCTCATGTAACCACCGTGGGTCAGGATGTGGCCTCTGGTCCCCCGGGCGTCCCTCCCAGGGGGTAGCCCCTGTATCTGCCCCAGGCAGATGAGCGGGTCCAGGGAAACGTGTACAAAAGCTAATCAGAGCCTGGTGGCCAGGCTATGCATGGGAGGCCTGGAAGGGGGCAGCAGGGCCCAAGCAGGCACAGGCTCCCCCCCAATTATAGTGGGCTGGTGGGTCCCCTGCGGGCTCTGTGCCAGCTCCAGCCTGAGGCAAGGGAATGATCTGGAGGCAGAGCCCAGGACAGGGAGCCAATGAGGAACTCACAGCTGTCAGACCCAGGAGCAAGGCCAGTTCTTAGAGAGGCTTTTCTTAAAAAAAAAAAAGAGAGAGAGAGTATGCCACCCTCTCCTGGTCTGGGTACCCACGGTATACACTCCTCAAAGGCTCAGTACGGGTTAGAGAACCATGGGCTTGAGACTGAGAGGGCTATGACAGCAGAGAACATCAGAGACAGAGGGGCTTGACAGGCCTGAGAACAGATGTCAGAGCTGGGAGGAAGCCCAGAACAGGGGATGTCAGGGCTGGGAAGGGCCTTGGAAAAGGGAATGTCAGAACTGGGAGAGCGCCTAGAACAGGGAATGTCAGAACAGGGAGAGGGCCTAGAACAGGGAATGTCAAGGCTGGGAGGGACCTTAGAACAGGGAATATGAGAGCTGGGAGGGAGCCTAGAACAGGAAATGTCAGGTCTGGGAGGTACCTTAGAACATGGGATGTCAGAGCTGGGAGGGACCTTATAACTGGAAATGTCAGAGCTAAGAGGGGCCTAATAATAAGGAATGTTAGATCTGGAAGGGGCCTGAGAGGCCTGAGAATGGGGGATGTCAGAACTTGGAGAAGGCCTAGAATAGGGAATGTCATGAATGTCAGGGTTGGGAGGGACCTTAGAACAGGGGATGTCAGAGCTGGGAGGGACTTAGAACAGGGGATGTCAGAGCCAGGGGGGACTGAGAGGCCTGAGAACAAGGAATGTCAGAGGTAGGAGGGACCTTAGAACAGGGAATGTCAGGGCTGGGAGGAAGCCTAGAACAGGGAACGTCAGAGTTGGGAGAGGTGTTAAAACGGAATATCAGGGCTTGGAGGGAGCCTAGAACAGATAGTGTCAGGCCTTAGAACAGGGGATATCAGAGCTGGGAGAGGCCTTGGGGATTTATCTCTCTAGTCCCTTTCATTCTGCAGATGAGAAAACCGAGGTCTAGGAAGGTCAGTGACCTGCCCAAGGTCACACAGGCAAGGCGCAGGTAAGACAACCTGGGAGCCCAGGACCCTCCTTCCCCTCCTTGGCGCTTTTCCCCAGGTCAGGATGGAGAAGAACCACTCCCATTACTATGGCGCTTTGTGACCGACAAAGCTCTGTCCTCACGACATACACAGTAAGGCAGGTAGTTTATGTATGACTGCTCCCATTTTAAGGATGAAGAAACTGAGGCTAAGAAAAGCTAAGAGGACCCTCACGTGGCAGAGCACATGTACCCATGCTTTGATGGGTGTCAGAAACATGTGGGAGGTGGGGAGCCAGCAGGGGACAGAGAAGGACATGGTGGGCTTCCGGCTCCTGACCTTTCGGCCCCTCCCATCTCTCAATGCTTGGGAGAGCTCAGGACAGCTGTTCTCGCCTGCCCTGCTCCCGTCTCTCCCAGGGCCTGTTTCATGGGGTGGAAGCTTAGGCTGCGTCCTTGAGGTTTGGGGAGGAGGTCAGGATGGTCCCTTGACTCGCCAAACATCCCCCCTGGCCCCCTGGGTCACCAAAGAGGGAAAGGCTCTTACCGGACATGTCAAAATGATTGTGCAAGGCTCTGGAGCTTGTGCTCTCGGCGGCCTTCTCAAACGCCCTCCCGAAAAAGCTACAAGACAAGGAGCAGCCCTGGCAGGGAGGCTTCTTCAGCTGGGGGGGCCACAGCCAACCCTCTCCTGCCCAGGGGTCTGCCAGGGCCCCCAGGAAGCTCGGCCCCTGGCATCCTCCAGGGTCAGCGGCAGTGGGGCCACACCGCTTGTCCCTATCCTCCCCCTGACCCAGGACCAGAACATAGGAAGCAGGCACGCCCTAGCCCCGTCCTCTGCATCCCCTCCCCCTCCAAAAAAAAGAGAGACCAGTGGCAAAGGATGCTGGTCTGGAGCCCGAGGACCTCAGTTCACCCCGACTGACTCTGCTACTACGAGCCAGGTGACATTGGGTAAGCCCCTCTCCCTCCCGAGGCCTTGGCTTGTGCATCTACAAATGGGGTGACTGGCCCAAGATGTCGTCTTAGGTTTCATCTCACTTTAAACCCCAGGACATGCTCAGTCTGAGACGGTTTGCTCTTCCATAAGAGGAGCAGGTTTCACAAAGCCCTGCCCGGGGTTCAGCGTCTGACCTCAGGGCTGGGATCGAACCCTCCCCAGATTGTCTGCCCTGCCAGCCCAGAGAGGGAGAACGAAGGAGACACTCACTTCTTCTTGTCGGAGCTCTCCGTCTCAGGGGGGATCCCCACCATGATCATGGTGCCGTGCTCCACGCTCATCGGGCGCCATCACCAGAGGCAGCAGCTTACAACGCTTGTTCTTTGTCTGTGAGGCACAGAGATCACGTGGTTATGGACTCCCGGCCGACGCTTCAGAGTCACTGATCCTGGTGATGCCCCCCATCCTCCACCAGGACCCTCACCAGGCTCCCCCAGGCCCGTGTCCATCCCTGGTCAGGCCTCACCCAGAGCGGCGGTCACACCTGGCACCCTCCTGGGCTGCCTACGAGGCTCTGGACGGATCTGCACAAAAGGCGGAGCCATCAGAGAGCTGGGGAGCAGGGAGGGACCCCCAAGGCTGCCGAGTCCAAGCCCTGCCTTTCACGGATGAGGAGGTAACAAAATGGCAGAGGCAGGATTTCTAAGCTGCTCCTTGCAAGCCCCCCTTCTTACTACAGCATCGAGCCCAGAGAGGGTAGGGACCTGGGGTCATTTAAACATGGCACAGGCTAGGTGCTAATGAAGTTCCCTGAAGGCGTGAGTGTCATGACATCATCGGAAGCATCCGCCAGTGGAAGAAGCTGCAGGTTCCACGTACCGGTTAGTCTTCGAGGAGAGAGGGAAGGCGTTCAGGGCACAGAAGGCATGCGGGTTAGCAGGAGCAGAGCCAGAGAGGCGATTGGAGGCACACGGCAGGGGACAGCATGGTGCTGGCGCTTAACGACCTTCCTTTCACCAACAGGACTGGAGGTCCTGCCTCTCTTCGCAGGACTGGCTCCTCCTCCACCATCTCTCCAGCCAGAAGTGAGCTCACCCTCTTGTGGACTCTTCCAACATTCTATTCCTCCTGCTTTGGCAAAGCTCACTCCGATGCCCGTACCATACGCCTGGTTGCTGATGTCACAGAAAGAATCCCTGCCGAGGGACTGCTCGGATGAGACAAGCCTGAAGTCGCTGTCACCACGGCCAGTGCCCCCAGCTCCCTTCTCCAGGGAACGGTCCGTGGTTGCACAAGCACGAGGCTTCCAAGTGGTCTGCAAGCGCTGGGCCTCTCGGATTTCCTGATCCTGGGCCTAATTTTCCAACATAATTTTCATGGTCCCCCTCTTAGGTCCACTTCCATCCCGTGTAGGAAGGACAGGCCTGAATCCCTGCTCTGTGGGACCAGGGGCAGGTCCTGCAGCCTCTCAGGTCTCCCTTTCCTCAAGCACAGACAGTCCACTAAAGGAGTTTTGAGGGGCCTTCCATCCTAAATCCTCTGACCAGAAGCTATTAAGAAGGATGTGGGCTGAGCGGAGGCCCTTCCATGTTCTGTACAGTGTCTGTTCTGCTGATGCAGAAGGTGGCATCAACTTCCTGTTGGTTTGTGCCCTTATAGGGAAGGGGACAGGACCGAGGTCCCCGTGAAACACGTGCAGATCTTCTTCCCTTTAGGTCAATGATAAAATCAATGCCACCAACTCCTGTATTTGGGTCCCCAAGGGGAGGCCGTGGGCCATGCTCTCTTCTAACTACAATCCATTTATTTAACTTTGCTGGTTTCCTTGGTGAGAACACAACTTTGGAAGTGGTGCCGGCACATTGCCCTGCGTGGGTCAGTCTGTAAGTGATTACATTCTTTTAGTCATATTTCCTCTCACTGGTCAGTTTGGAGGGTTCTATTCTTCTGGCCATGTTTCCCCTTGTGGGTCAGTCTGGAGGATTCCATTCTCCTAACCACATTCCTACTCACTGGTCAGTTTGGAGGGTTCCATTCTTCCGGCCACGTTTCCCCTCGTGGGTCAGTCTGGAGGGTTCCATTCTTCCGGCCATGTTTCCCCTCGTGGGTCAGTCTGGAGGGTTCCATTCTTCCGGCCACGTTTCCCCCGTGGGTCAGTCTGTAAGTGATTATATTCTTCTAGCTGTTTCCCCTCATTGGTCAGTGGAAAAAGGCTACATCGAGTGCATCAACAGTTACGTTAAGAACAACCCACAGTCTAAGAGATGAGGTCCTTACGGCCTCTGCCTGCTCTTCACTACATAGACACAGTCCCCGCAGAAGGAGGACATAAAGAGCCAATGGACACTGCGTGTCCCAGACGGCATCATAGGTCAGTAAAGTTCATTTGGTGGCCAAGTCTTTGATTAATGTCTGAATCTCACAGCATCTCAGAGATCACTGAGGCCAAACTATTCTGATAAGGCCGGTCCCCAGACAGACCAAGGGGGGCTCACCAAGCCGGTGCCAAGGCCTTCCCAGCTGGGTGGGGCCTGGGTGGAGGGCGGGCTCCGAAATACATGGGGAAACTTCCAAGGAGGCCTTTGGAGGAAGTGAAACCCAGACTCCGTCCTCGGAGGCTAATCAGGGGCAATGATATGGTTAGGTTGTAACTAGAAAAACATGGTGCACGTCCTGGAATGAGCTGCGCCGTCAGGCAGGTAGCTGGGATCTCTTCCACACTCTCACATGGGGCTGGAGTGTACCTCTCCTCCCAAGGCGTCCCGCTGGCCACGTCTCTGAGCCACTTAACCACCATTACCAATTCTTGGTCGATCTTTCCATTTCTATTTCACATTTTAAGGGGAAAAAAAAACAACCTTCACTTGTATCCGGAGAGCACCTTAAAATTTTTTTTTCTGTCTCTCTTCTAAAAAATGCCCGGTAAGTTCTAACGAAAATCCCCAAATGCCTCAAGGCCAGGTGTCCATCCCCAAGGCCTCTGTCTGGCTTCCCGCTGGAGCTCGCCTTTGATGGGATCTTAGTTTAGCCCGGGTGAGCTGCTTGTTTCTTGAAGTTCTCCTGGAGGGCCTGCTCTTCTCGGCGGGGAGCCGTATGGCTCGGAGGCCGTCTCGGGCTTTTGTTCTCTGCACAATCTCATTTCCTCACCTCCTACCCACATTCTTCTTCTGGCCTCTGGCAACTGGGTCTCAGTTGTTCTGCTGAGGTTTGGGGACATCTTGTGACTTCTCTGCTCTGTCATCTTCCTGACAACGTGACCTCAGCCTTTGGAAATGGAATAGGAACAGCGTGTGCACACACCGTCCATTCTGTGCAAGCCCGTCAGTGGGTGCCATGACACCGTGGCAGACCCATCCCCCAAACACATTCAGAGCAGCTTTTGGACACGAGTGGCTTGGCTATAAAACCTACTGCTCAGATGTGCTGGTTGTGTGACCCTGGGTAAGTCACTTTACCTGCCTGCCTCAGTTTCCTTATCTGTAAAATAAGGTTACTAATAGTGCCCACCTCTCAGGGTTGTTGGGGGGATGAAATAACATTGGTAAAGGGGCTCAGCACAGTGCCGGGCACATAGCAAGTGCTTGGAAACGTTAGCTGCCTCGCCCCCCAGTCACCAAGGCTCTCCTCCTCAGTCAGGGTCAGACTGTACTCCTCTCTTCCCCAGGCCACAGATCTGACCTACGGCCATGTCTCACTGTAACTCTCTTACGCTATGTCCCCCATGTGCCCCTTTCTCTCCACTCACACCGCGCCCCCTCTAATTCACTTTACAACTGACTGATTGGTGCCCTGGCCTCCAGTCTCTCCTTGCTCCGATCCATCCTCTCCGCTACCTGAGTCACATTCCTACAGTTCAGGCTGGCCACGTGTCTTCCCTGCTCCCTCTTACCCCCCAGGATCAGACACAAAGGCCACTAATGGACGTTTAAAACTGCTCCACACGGTCTGTGACTCAGCAACACTGGCCTCCTTGGAGCTGCTCACACACAAGGGGCCATCTCCCACCTCCAGGCGTTTTCCCGGGCTGTGTGCCAGGCCAGGAATGCTCTTCCCCTTCACCTCTGCTCCCGGCTTCCTTCAAGCCTCAGCTCCCATCCTGCCTTCTGTAGGAGGTGCTTCCTGGTGCCCCCAGCCGTTCCCCCACTTTACATTTAGTGTGTGGGCACCTCGTCATTTGTCATCCTGTTAGACGGGCAGGGGCCCGTCTGGCCTTTCTTTGGGGCCCAGTGCCTGCCTGCCCCAGCTCACTTCGCCACTGGCACTTACTGAACAAATGAAGGACTGCAGCAGATATCTGCTGAGCAGGCCCAGTGACACTGGCTTGGAGAACAGCTTGACGTCCGGCGTGCCCTGAGGAGGGAGGAGAGAGGAGCCGTGAGGGGGCCTGCGCAGAGCCTGGAGCTAGAAACGCGAGTGAGCAAGCGTCCCCGGCCGGGAGAGGAGAGGGGAGAGGCTGGGGTACCTCCATGAGGTAGCAGTAGAGGAAAGGCCCCTGGGAGATGACGAGGTTGGTGCAGATGCAGCTGGCCACGGTCTGGTGGATGGCCCGAAGCTGCTTCTTGGCCAGTTCCAGGCCTTGGTAGAGCTGCGCCAGGTTACTCCTGCAGGGCAGAGCAAACAGACAGACGTGGGCTCACCCCGTCCCTCCGTCGGAACTGCAACCCTTCTCCAAGGAGCTGCTCTGGCCACACAAAAGTCATCCCCCAGCAGCCAGGCCGCCGCCAACCACGTGGCCAAGCCTCCCCAGGCCAGGCCAGGCTGGCGCTCAGATGACCCACAGTCTGGTCAGTCTTGGGGCCTCCACCTGAAGTCCCTCCCAAGGGGGGGCCCTGCCAGAGTCTGTGCAGGGACGGAGGTGCATCCTGGCCTCTGGGTCGGGGAGTGGAGAGTGCTGTCTGCCTTCTTTTTTCTGTTTTTGTTTTTGGTGAGACAATAGGGGTTAAGTGACTTGCCCTGGGTCACACAGTAAGTGTCACATGTCTGAGGCCGGATTTGAACTCAGGTCCCCCAACTCCAAGGCTGCCCCACTGTCTGTCTTCTCTGTGTGCTGGAAATCACAAAGACCTGACTCCAGCTAGCCACGAGGACCCTGACTCCCCTGGGCCAACACCTCCTTATCCGTCGTTGTGAGGATCAAGTAACTAAGTGTCGGTAAAGGTCTCTGCAGACCCCAAGCGCTAAGTCAGTGTGAGCAAGGGGTCCCAGCCCTTCCAGGCCTCAGCAGATCCTCCAGAGGCGTGAGCTGCTGTGGCCAAATAAAGGCATCTGTGGGGCTGTTCTCTGCGCACTGAGAGAGGCCAAGCCTTCCTCCAACCCCTCATGCTCTGACCCTGGGCAAGTCCCTTAGCCGCTGCCTGCCTCAGTCCCCTCACCTGTAAAATGGGGATAATACCTAGCTCCCAAGGCCATTGGGACAATAAGATCAGCTAACGTTTGTAAAGCGCTCAGCAAACCTGATGGTGTTGCCCAAACGCTCGCTATTGTTACTGGGATTATTGGACTGGTCCCGAGAGGCCCCGTGGCCCATTACTCCAGGTCTAAGGGAGCCAGTGTGCTAGGGTGGAAAGAACCATGGCCCAGACCCAGAGGCCCAGGGTCCCATCACTCACTAGCTGGGTGACCCTGGACCAGTCTTGTCCCTTCCTGGGCTTGTGTCCTCTTTTTTGGGGGCTAGGCAATGGGGTTATGTGACTTGCCCAGGGTCACACAGCTAGGTAAGTGTCAAGTGTCTGGTTTGAGATGGATTTGAACTCAGGTCCTCCTGACTCCAGGGCCGGTGCCACCTCGCTGCTTGTGTCCTCTTCTCTAAGTGGCCCAGCCTCATACTGTGACTTTGGGCACCTGCCCTCTGGCCCCCTCCTCCTCAGCATCTCTATGGACACGGCCTCCAAGCCATGAGGAGGCTGAGGGCTTCAGAGAGTCCAGACACTCCCTTGGGGGGGGGCTGATGTGTTAAAACTGAACCTCGTTCTGGGCCCCAAGCACCCCCACCCCCGTTGTAGACAGCACAATGAGGAAGTGTCTAAGCAGCCAGCACGAAGAGGCAGGGGCAGGGAATAAGACAGCAGAAGGAAGCCCGGAACGCCCACACAAAGACCCGAAGATCTAAGGGTAGAGTCTGTGACTGTACTAGAGACGACCCCAAATCGCCTCTGGGTAAGTGGCACTGCTGCCAGGGCCTTTGGGCCTCCCACAAGTGAACCTCTGGCAGGTCACCAAAGGCATACTGCCTTTGAGAGGCCGTCGCCAGGGTAATGCTGAGGTTTTACCGACAACCTTGGAACACCCGAAGGTAAGACAGACGAGACACTGTCTGTGCCCCAAAGACCTCATGAAAAGGGACCTCAGGCTCCACTCCCCAGGCCTCCTCCATCTCCAGCAGCTCCATGGGGCCCGGCGTGGTCACGTGAGTGACTCGCCGGTCCATACTCCTCCTCCCCCTCCTGCCTTCCTCCACCATCCCCTCGCCCATCCCTGCGCCATCCGCCTCTGTGCTTTCTGCCGTTTGCCCCCACGCCCTCTATGCCTTATTAAATGGTGACTGCCACCTCATTTCCTGCGGCTGGTTGTGACCTTTCCTGGTGCACACCCAAAGAACCGGGCGTGCCTGCCCCATTTCATAAATTAATCAGCCGTTCACTTGCGCACACAGCACTGGAATGGGAGGCTGGGAGCCAGGGTTCAAGTCCTGCCTCAGACCCTTAGGAGCCATGTGACCACAGCCATCCCCCTCCATCTCTCTCAGCCTCAGTTTTGGACACAAGAGGGGTTGGACCGATGGCTTCTGCCACATGCTGGGGCCTCCCTGTGCTGCCTCACTGTGGAGGCGGCAATAACTAATCACAGAGAACTTGGGTCTGTGCCTGCGATGGCGAGAGGAAGGCGAGGAGAAAGGAGAGGAGGGTCCCCTTGGCCCAGCACCTGGAGAGACTGTCCAAGGCCCTGATGAAGTTGTCCGTCCCGGAGGCGTCCTTCTCAACGTTCTCCAGCAAGGACGTGGTGGCGAAGACCACGTCGCTGGCCAGGAACCTGTTTTTGAACCCAAAGTGGATGCTGAAAGTCTGCACCCGCATGTCCTTCATCCTGTAAGGGAGAAGGAAAAGAGGCTGAGTCCTCTGTGATTGAGCCAAAGGAAACAGGAAACCCGACAGGGGGACGCCTCGGCTCCAAAGCGGCTCCCCCACTGCCCATCAGCTAGGGAATGGCGGGACAGGTCATGGCATCTAAACATGCAGGGGGCCAGAACTGGACTGTAAGAAATGGGGGGAGGGCTCTGAGAAGCCCAAGAAGACTTGTAGGGACTGATGCAGAGGGAAGTGAGCAGAACCAGGAGGACCACGTATACAGTGAGAACAACCCCATAAAGACAAACGCTTTGAAAGACTCCAGAACCTTTAGCAGTGAACGACCACCCAGGATCCCAGAGTCTTGTGATGAAGCATGTCACCCACCTCCTGACAGGGGGACCGGCTTGGGGGCACACTGAGAAAGGCAGAGTTTGAGGAAATGACTGGGGCAGGGATTTGTTTTGCTTGACTCTACATTATTTGTTAGAAGGCCTTTATTTTTCTTTATTTTCCAGTTGAGGTGAGAGAGGCTCTCAGTTCTAAGGCCCCTCCCAGCCCTGACATCCCCTGCTCTAAGTGCCACCCCCCCCCAGTCCTGACATTCTCTGTTCTAAGGCCCCTCCCAGCTCTGACATCTCCTGTCCTAAGGCCCCTCTGGCTCTGACATTCCCTGTTCTAAGCGCCACTCACCCCCCTCCCCAGCCCTGACATTCTCTGTTCTAAGTGCCACTCCCCCACCCCAGTCCTGACATCCCCTGTTCTAAGGCCCCTCCCAGCTCTGACATCTCCTGTCTTAAGACCCCTCTGGCTCTGACATTCTATGATCTAAATTCTCCCAGCTCTGGCATTCTAGATTTTAGCTCCTAAAGGGTAGACCAGCATGAGAGCAGAGCTGGGCATGTCACTTCCTAAGGATCCCCACAGGTAACAAAAACACACTCAGTGAAAGTCTGAATCATCTGATGAAGCAGCTGGAAAAGCATGTGGTACAATTCAGAGAGATTCCCACAAAGAAGGGGAAAATGAAATTACTCTGGCCTTGTAATCCTCTGGTTCTGGAATATCCACTTCCCTGCCAGAGGACTGAGGTCACCAAACTACCACAAGGCAGCTGGGGGTGGGGGGGCTGGTGGGCCTGCCTGGGGTCACACAACCAACTGCATCCGAGGCAGACCTAGAACCCAAGCCTACTCCAGCCACTAGAATGTTAGAAGCAGAGGGAACCTCAGAGAAGAACAGACATGGGTAAAGTACCATGGAAATGTCAGCTCCTGGATTCAATCAATGCCCACACTGGAGAGAGGAGGGGCTGGGCTACATCGAACTCAAACAGAAGCCATCCCTGCAGGCCGCATGTTGTCTTAGGAAACCGTGTATTAACACTGTCATCTATGTTGTATTGCACTTCATTTCCTTATTCATTTTAATCTGGTTCTGCCAGGCCGGGAGTCTGGCCAGCCACTGGCAGTCTAGAGCTGGCCACGTCTGGTCTCCAGGAGGGGAAGGGAGGGTCCAAGGAACCCACCCTGAAGGTGGAAGCCACCGAGGCAGCTTTAGGCTTGATCCAAGGGAAATATTCTTTCCCACCAGAGCTGCCCTGGAGTGCATGGGCTGCCCGAAAAGGAGTGAGTTCCCCATCACTAGAGGTCTTTGAGCAGAGGCCACTGTGGTGGGGCATAGGCTGGACTATATGGCCACTGGGGGGCCTTCTGACTCTGTAATCTCACACTTGAGGGATTCTGGGAGCCAGGAACACAGCCCAGGTCTCCAAAGCTTCCATCTAGTCAGAGGGCCCTTCTGTCTACACCACCCCACCCCCATCTTTGGAACTTAAAACCCACATCTGTGCAAAGGGTGGCCCAAAAACCAGGCCAGGCTCCAGGAAACAGGCTCTCCTAAATGTAAACAGGCTCCTGTTTGCTTATGGCAGGAACAGACACAATCATTTCACCAAACAATTACGTGGAGCCTCAGAAGCCTAAATTTAGATTCAAAATTGGACTCCCAGCCAGAAGCTCCTTACAGGCCCCATCTGTCTTTGCCGTGGGGGAAGGGGGATCCATGGGTGAGCACCTGGAAGCTGGAGCCGGAGGCCGCGCTTCCCTCAGGCAATGACCAGCTTCCGCGCGCTGCCCAAGTGGGTGAGACAGGGCCTTCCTCGGTCTTGTGTCCTTGGCTGAACTTACTACCCTCCTTGCGGCAGAGGTGGGGGACTACAGGTGCAGAATGTGGCATGCACCGCCAGCCGGCAGTCATCTTATCAGTGTCTGCCTGACTTCTCCCTCTGAGCTCATCATCCAGGTTGTTCCTGCTAGCGGGGGGAGGGGCCCCAGGCTCTGTCCGGCACCCCCTCCTCTCCTCTCCTCTCTCTACACCATATCACTTGGTGATCACATCAGCTCCCACAGATCCAATTAGCAGGGGATTCTCAGATAACACTCATCCCGCCCTAACTCACCGACCTCCTGTCTCGCATTTCCAAGGGCCCGTCAGACCTCTTGAAAGGGATGCCCAGCCACATCCAGGCGGGTGCCAAGGTGGGTCGATGGCCCTCCAATCCGCTCCCAACACGACACAGGCCCCCACGCCCTCCCGCCTGGACTACTGCAACAGCTGCTGGGGTGGGGGGGTCTGCCTGCCTCTAGTCTCCCCCCTCTCTGGACCATCCTCCATCAGCTGCTAAAGGGATTTTCCTAAAACCAAGGTGAGACCACACCACCCCTACTCCACAAACTCTGTGGCTCCCTATGGCCCACAGAATCAAACATAAAAAGTTCTGCTTGGCATTCAAAGCCCTCCATGGCCCGGCCCCCTCCTCCTTTCCAGTGTTCTCACACCTCCCTCCCTGACACGTGGTCCACCATCTAGCGACGCCGGCTTCCTGGGAGGAGGGACAGAATAAAGCTCTCATTGGAATGTGCTCGCCAAGCACAATGCCCCCCCACCCCAGGTTCCGGGCCTTCTCTCTGGCTGCCCCCAGGCCTGGACCACTGACCTCCCAGTCCCAGCTCTGATCTCACCTTTTGCAGGATGCCTGTTCTGAAGCCTGGTGATGCCGGGACCTCCCTCTGGCTGGTTGGCCCATCCTCCACTAGACTGGGAGCTCCCTGAGGGCAGGGCCTGCCTGTCTTCTGCCCGCTTGTACCCCCAGTGCCTGGCCCATAGAAAGTGCCTAATAAATCTTTGATGACCAGGCAGCATGGCCCACCACAGACACTGACCAGTCGTGTGACTGTGGGCACGCCACTGCACCCTCCACCTTCCTCAGTTTCCTCATCTGAGAAGTGGGTCAGTCAGACTCCACAGCCTTGAAGGTCCCTTCCAGCTCCAAACCTCTCACACTGGGACTCTGTGAACTTTCTTTTTGTTACCAGGGAGGGGTCAGCGGGGAAATCACTGTGACGTGAGAACAAACGGCATTGATCAAACAGTATTCCTGCCGTCAGTCTAAGCTTGTTAAAAAGGAAGGGAGGACAGGAGACAGCACTTCTGATAAGAGAAGCCCGGCCCAGGGGAGCCACGCCGTGCCCAACAGTCACCCACACAAGCCACTCTTACCCGAATTTGTTTGCAGACTCTTCGAGGATTTCCTGCAGATTCTCTTTCAAGGAGACATCCATGGCCTGAAACTTCTGCTTAACCTGTTTTAGTGGGAGCCTGCAAAGACAGAGAGAATCGGTGACATCCGTGAGCATGGCTAAAAGGAAGAGCCTTCGCCCCATAACGGGACACCAGGAGCCCCGTGAGGACAAGGAATGAAATCCATCATCTCCTGCTAAGGGGAGACAGACGGACGGAGGGACGGACAGACGGACAGATGTCTGCTGGGCTTCATCGTCTCTAAGGGGGGCAAGGGCAGCGCAGAGAGAGGGCCGCGCTTGAGGTCAGGAAAACCCAGGTGCCAATCCTGCTGTGCCTTTTTGGTCTCCTTGGCTGGGTCCCCACCCACGTCCTGCATCCCCCAAGGATTTGTCCTTGCCCCCTCTCTCTTCTCCCTCCCGTAGGTACCTCACAGCTCCCACAGGTTCAGTTATGATCTCCACCCCAAGGTCCCTTCGTCCTGAATTCCCCATCACCAACTGCCTACTGGACACTTCCACCTGGATGCCTGCCGGCATCTCAGACTCAACATGGCTGTTCGTTAGCCTACCCCCCGACTCCCTCCTCTCTTCCCCGGTTGACTATCTCTGTAGACTCAGACACGCAGCCCAGAAGCCCTGCTCCCTGCGGCCCCTTCTGATCCCCCCCCCCAGCCCCTTGGCCCCCCCCCGGCGGCCCCTTCTGACCGCCCCTGAGGCCCCTTCTAACTGCCCCACTGCTCTTGTCACCTCTTGCCTGGACCACTGCATGCATTGGCTCCAAATGGGCCACCCCTCTGCAGTCCATCCTCCACATGTGACAGTGAAGATCCCTCCCCTGCTCAATATCCATCAATGGCTCCCCATCGCCTCCCGTTTGGCACTGAAAGCCCCCACAGTCAGCTCCAATCTGCCTTTCCAGGCCCCCTGTCCGCTTCTCTCGTGGGCTCTAGAACGCAGCCACACTGGCCTGCTGGCCTCTGCACTCCTAATTCTCCGTCTCCCATGACCGGGTCTGTGCACAGGCAGTCTGCCTGGAATGCCCTCTGTCTTTCCATCTTGAAGAATCCCCGAGTTCCTTCAAGGCTCTGCACCCATCCCCCTCTTTCCTCCATGAGGCCTTTCTTAGAGCCTCAGCTGTCAGCGCCTCCCCCACCATAGAAAGCGCCTAATAAATCTTTGATTACCTGGCCTTGCACTGAGAAGTCTGGGCATGTCTTGGCTCCCCCAGAACAGAAGTCCTGAAGGGCAAGATTGCTTCATTCCTACAGCCTGGCCTGGCAGGGGCTAAATAAATGCTGCTCCACTGATTTCTTCTGAGGCATCCCGGCCAATGACCAGACAAGTCACAGCCTCCGGGCAGCCCAGGCAGCCTAGTCTCTGAGTAATAACCAGATTACTGGTTGGCTTTCCACACTGGGAGGAGCCCCACACTGATCAAATCTGAGACCCAGACCTCCCTAAGAGGCCATCCCTACACATGCCTGATCAGAGCGCGGAGAGGGACTTGTCTGTAACAGACATGCCGGGAAGGCCCGACGCCACAAGTGACAGGGCACCCTCCTTCCTTTGGGAGGTGGGGGGCTACGGGTGAGAAACGCCACATGCACACCCAGACCCTGCACACGCAGTGGCTAGTTTGGAGGAAACGCTTTTGTTGGTTTTTCTTTTTCTTTAAAAATCTCTTTCTTTCTTTCTCTTTCTGTGTTTCTCTTCCCTCCCTCCCTCCTCTCTCCATCCTGTCTCTCCTCTCTCCCTCCATCCCTCCCTTCTTCCCTCCTACCTCTGTCCTCATCTCTTTCTTTGTTTCTCCCTTCCCTCCCTCTTTACCTTTCTCTTTCTTCTCTTTTCCCCCCTCTCCTGTCTCCCTCCCTCCTCTTGTGTCTCTCCCTCCTTCCCTCTCCTGTCTCCCTTCCTCCTCTTGTCTCTCTCCCTCTCTCCTCCCTCCTGTCTCCTCCTCTGTCTCCTCCCTCTCTCTGTCTCTCTCCTCCTCCCTCTCTGTCTCCCTCCTCTTGTCTCTCTCCTCCCTCTCTCTGTCTCCTCCTCCTCTTGTCTCCCTCCCTCTCTTGTCTCTCTCCCTCCCTCCCTCTCCTGTCTCCCTCCCTCCTCTTGTCTCTCTCCCTCCCTCCTCTCCTGTCTCCTCTCTTGTCTCTCTCTCTCCCTCCCTCCCTCTCCTGTCTCCCTCCTTCCTCTTGTCTCTCTCCCCCCCTCCCTCCTCTTGTCTCTCCCTCATCAGCACAGAACCTCAGACTCTGCTCTTTGCTGACACTGCCGTCTCTTCCCTCCTCAGGCATCCTGGGGCCCCTCCCTCTCCCTCCTCGGTGGTGGCCCACCACATTCAGTTCCAGACTTAGCAGCGACGCCCCACGAGCGTCTGTCCCTGTGCAACTCGGATCCCACAGACTCGAGCCATCCACCTGTCCCTGTCTCCACAGCAGCAGAGGCTAGGGTCCATCTGCCACCACACCCGGCTCTTCTTTCCAGAACCTCTGTAGCTGGGGGGCTCTCTGGGGAAGGGACGGGGAGGACTGTATTTAGAAATCACTGTGATATGAAACCAGAAGCTGTCCATGAAGCCACTACCCCAGAGCTCAGCCCTTAGCTAGCAGAGAAATGTTGGGGGTGGGGGCAAATGGGGCAGCGGATGAAACACCAGACGGTTCTGGTGTCGGCCTCGGGAGGACCCGGCTTGAGCCTCAGCTGTGTGACCATGGGCCAGGCCCTGCATCTGTCCGAGCCCTAGCCTCCCTCTGTAAAGTGAGGCTGCCCCCTGCACCCCTTATCTCACTGCGGGGCCGAGGGCAGAATGGGGTCATCGTCATCAGCCCCGCTGTGACTTTGAAGCCAACTCACCCCATGTCAGCCAGAAACTCCTGAAGCCGCTTCTGGCCCTGGACAGACCAAAGCCTGAGCCTAGCTGACGTGTAGCACGTGTTACAGAGGCTGTCATAGAGAGACCAGTGCTGGTATAGGGCCAGGCGCAGGCTGGAACACCACGGGCGTTAAAGACAATGGCAGGCCACGTCCAGAAGTCCTGGGGTCCCCCTCCCAACAGGGGCAGCTGCAGCTGGGAGTCCCTGCCGCTCTCAGCCAGTGGTACTGCCTCGATTTCCCTTCTCGCACCCCCTCTGGGCCCCAGACACTCCCCCCCCAACCCTCCTCCGGAGCTCCTTCCTGACAAGGGGCCCATCCCATACTGGGCAGGACCCTGGGTTGCCTAGCACAGCTCTGGCTTCTGGTTCTTATGGCCTGGGTCACCTTGGACAAATCACATGACCCACTGAGCCCCAGTTTCGTCCTCTAGAACATGAAGGCCAGTGAGGCCTTTGCTGCCCCAGAGTGAGGGCCCTAAGGTTCATATGTCCCATCCCTCCCTCAGTGCCAAGCTTGGGGCTCTGTGCAGGGCCAGAGCCCGTGGGAGGGCTGGGGGGGGGGGGCAATCCCCTGATGCCCAATTCCCAGGGTCTAAGGAAGGTGGATGGGGGGGAGCGGCCCAGCCCCTGCTCACCCCTCCCCCACACAAGGATACTCGTACTCAAAGGCTATCCGTGTGCAGTCGATGGAGAGGGAGTTCTCATCATCTTCATTGCGATGGTTGTGTCGGGAGACATGACGCTGCAGAATCCCAATATCGGTCACATACTTCATTCTGAAACAAAAATGGCCCAGGCCGTCAGGATTTCCTCCTCGCACGATGGCGGTTGCCCGTGCCTGCGTACAGCTCACGCCCTCTCCTGGCCCTTCCCACCAGGCTCAGACATCCCAGGAGGTGCCACTGCCCCACCTCCCGGCGAGCACCATCACTGTGGGGCGGAGGGGAGAGCAGAAGGGGTGCGGGCGGGGCAGTGGGGTGCTCTAGAGAGGGCCTAGCTCCCCTCCTGGAGTCTGTCCTCAGGAGGCTTTGTGTGTCCTTCATGCTCTTGGCACAGAGGACTGAGAGCTGGGGCCCAGACGCCGAGATACCAGGCCCAGCTTGGCCAGAAGCCACCCAAGCAACTGCAGGAAAAGCAGAAACCCTCATTGACATCCCTTATCTGGAGGAGGCAGAGGATGGAGAGGAGTGCTCCAGACTGGGGCTCCACCATGCAGGACAGTCATGTCAGGAGACACGATCTCAGAGGAAACGCTTGTGTGCAGGGCTGGGAGGGGCCTTAGAACAGAGGATGTCAGGGGGCAGGAGGGGCTTAGAACAGGGGATGGCAGAGCTGGGAGGGGCTTTAGAACAGGGGATGGCAGAGCTGGGAGGGGCCTTAGAACAGGGGATGTCAGGGGGCGGGAGGGGCCTTAGAACAGGGGATGTCAGGGGGGAGGGGCCTTAGAACAGGGGATGTCAGGGGGCAGGAGGGGCCTTAGAACGGGATGGCAGAGCTGGGAGGGGCTTTAGAACAGGAGATGGCAGGGGGGGCAGGAGGGGCCTTAGAACAGGGGATGGCACAGCTGGGAGTGGCCTTAGAACAGGGGATGTCAGAGCTGGGAGGGGCCTTAGAACAGGGGGTGTCAGGGGGCGGGAGGGGCCTTAGAACAGGGGATGTCAGAGCTGGGAGGGGCCTTAGAACTGGGAAGGTCAGAGGCTGGGAGGCCTCAGAACAGAGAACCTCTCCTACCTCAACTAAAAAAGAAAGAAAATTAAAGCCATTTCCCAAAACTCTATGTTTCTCAACGTGGCCCCAAGCCCACCCCATCAGGAGGTGCCACAAATTCAAATCCCAGCCCCCCAAGCCACACTGGACCCCAAGTTTCCTTGGCCCTAGAAGGGCATTTGTCCCTGTCCTGCAGAGGGAAGCCCTGGCTCGGTCCGTGGGGGCCCTGTCCTTTCTGACTTCAGAACATCCAGATACGGAAACTGAGGCAGAGCTTAGCTTGCCTAGGAACACAGGGCAGGGATTGGAACCAAGTCACCAATAGGGCTCTTCCCTTTTCTGGGGTCCTGGACCCCTCTGGCAGTCTGGTAAAGCCTGTGGACCCCTTCTCCAAAATGCATAGGATAAAACAAGGAAGCCAGAGGTGGGAAAACAAAGGTGGCATGTTTTTCCCCCATCCACATTCACAGATGGCCTGCAATCTGCCCTCAGGCAGAATGCCTGGGGGCCCACGGATGTTAGGCTGAGAACCCCTGCTCTGAGAGCCGAAGATTTATCTGCATCATCCCACCATAGCCATGGAGGCTGAAGACCCAACATTTATTATGTACCACTGTGTACCAGGAACTAGGCTAGGCCCTGAGGGTACAAAGATGAAACTGAAGCCCTCCCAGCCTTCAAGGGGCCTCTATCCACCTGGGGGCTACCACGAGTATAGAGATGAGTAGACACCAGGTAAGTAAGCACAGGAGGGAGGGAGTCAGGGTAGTGTGGGAGCTCAGCCCTGAAGGAAGGATGTGCAGGAGCAGAGGGGGAGAGTGTTCTAGGCACAGGGAACAGCCTGTACAAAGGTCTGGTGGTAGGAAGCATGGAAGCAACTCAGACTCCAGGCCTTGGCCTTGCTTGGACGGAAGACGCCACTGCAAAACCCTGCATACTGTGTCACTGGCTGCTGCCACGTTGGGGGTGAGGACAGAGGGTGTGAATGATCCTGGCCACGGGGACAGTCCCACGTGTTCAGAACACACTTCTTCATTTTCAGATTTCTTTCCCAAGAGCCCTCTCGCTCCTCAGAACAGCTCTTAGGAGATACACAGAGGGGAGGTTATTCAACCCATTTGACAGACTGAGAAACTAAGGCCCACGGAGATAAAGATGACTTCATCATGGTCACTGAGTCAGAGGTGGAACCAGGATGAAAATCCACACAACCCAATTCGGGGTCCAAAGCCCTTTCACGCTCTACATTCTAGCAAAGTGGCCTACGTGCCATTCCCCAAACCCATAGTGCACTTCCAGCTCTTTGCTCAGGCTGTGCCCCCACCAGTAATGCACTCCCTCTTCCCACCAGTTCTTAGAACCCCATGACGTCCTTCAAGGCTTGCTCAGGGACCATCTCCAGTCATCACGTACATACTTATCAGCGTGCACGTTCTATACGTCCTGCCCACTGAGGCAGAAAAGAAGGTGCTGGACTGCAATGGGGTTTGTTTCACCTTCATATCCCCAAGGCCTTGCACACAGTAGTAGCTTAATATGTGCATGTTATTAGCCAGACCCTGTTCCCAGAGCCTGGGAAGGGAAAGCTAAGGCCCCACCAGTGGTCTCCCCCACCCACCCCAGCACCTCCCAGCCAGGGGCCAGGCTCTCCGGGTCACTCAGAGTCATCCGGCCCGAGCCTCTCGGGCCTCAGGCCGCAACATGTGCCATGCCCAGCACCCCCGAGCCCAGCAGGAGGACAGTCGCCTTACTGAGTGATCCTGTCTTGTATCCACTGGTCGGTCAGCCCAACAATGGCCCACCTGGAAGGAGAGAGAGCGCGAGGGGTGAGGGGCGGGAAGGAAGTTCCTTTTTAAGAGGGCAAAGGGGTCCAGAGACCAGTCTAGGCCAGTCCAGCCCAGAAAAGCCTCTTCTACACAGCTGGAGAAGAACCTCCCATATTTAAGGCTGAAAGGGATGTGGGAGGTCATCTAGTCCGGATGAGGAAACTGAGTCCCAGAGACAGGAGGGGACTTGCCCGAGATTACAGGGAGTAAAGCAAAAGAGTCAGGATTGGAACCCAGGCCCCAGGCGGGGCCTCTTGAAGCCTGACCTCCAGTGCTGCCTGGAGGCGGGAGGATGGAGGCTTCCCACTGAGCCTGACCATAGGGCTCCTTCCTGAGAAGCCCGGGGAGCCAGGAGGGCCGAGGTGCTCGCGAGCACGTCCTCCAGCCCGGCAGCATCCTGCCCCACCCCCTTCATCGGCATACACTGTTCCGAGGGCAGAGGACGGGCAGCACCAGGGACAGGGAACGAAGCCCCCGCAGGGGCCCTGCTTACGTACCACAACATGTCATTGAGATCCTTGGACATGACCCAGGCCAAGTCAAACATCACCATGGCTGACTACAAAAGAGGAGGGAACAGGGATTCCGGGTCAGGACCAGCTCAGGGCTGCACACAGAGGCTCCCAGCCTGGGCTGCCCGCGGGGGGTGGGGAAGGGGCCGGGGATCAGGTGCCCTCTGCCCCCAGAACCTCTGCTGCCTCTTCTGTGGCAGACCCTCCAGAGAAGGGCTCTCTGGTGCCACGATGCGTGTGGAATGGGAGGTCACGGGGACGAGAGCTGACCAGAACAGTCTGGGCCTGGCCTGACAGGAGGGAAGGCCCATGTCGGTGAAATCCCAGAGCCCCAGGGTAGGGGGAGTCTGACCACGTCTAAGCTACAAGGCCAAGACTGAGAGCTTCTGGCTCCTGCCTGATCAATGATGTGGGGGCCGCCCCCCACACCTTCTGACCTCAGAGAGGAAGCCTCGCGCCTTAGTAACCACAGACGGCAGCATCCTCTGTGAGGGCAGAGAGAGGAAACGAGGTGGCTGCCCCGCTCCCGGGGAACTGCCATGAGAAAAGGCAGCAGAGGAACCCAAAGGCCCATGTCAACGATGAAACAAATGAAGAGTGTGAGGAAGGCGAAGGAGCCCGGGAGACCTTTATGAACTGATCCAGGGCCAAGAGAATGGACTACAGGACAACTCTGGCCACAACTAAAACACCAATTCACTGCCGTGCCCAGTCCTCTCCACAGAGGTGAGGGGCCACAGGGGAGCAGAGGTGCATACACCTGCTTCAAGGGAAGGACAGAGAGCTAGAAGGACCTCAGAGGTCACCTCCAGACAAGGAAACCGAGGCCCAGAAAAGCCAAGTGACTTTCCGTCAGGTCATGCTGGTTGAAGGGGGCAGGGAACTCTCTATGAGGAGACCGCTGTAAAAATAAAAAGCTCACAAACACAAAAGGAAGGGCAGCGAGGACCCCCAAGGACAAAGGCTGGGCCTTCAGGTCTGAGAGGGGCCCCGCGATCTCACTCACTGAGGTCCCATGGTATTCATACTGCTCATAATCGAAGAGGATTTCTTTCCTGGAAGACATGAGGGCACAACGTCAAGGCTTTGGAAGGCAGGACAAAGCCCAGGGACCTGCGAGGGCCACAGGCAACCCCACCCCAGCCCCTTCTACCCCCAGGGCCTGGCGAGGTTCGAAGGACGTCATCAACACTGTGCAGAGGTCAGGGGCTGGGTGAGGGAGACTCAGACTCCTACAGCCAGGCCTCTCTGGACACTGAATCCAGAAGAAGCCGGTGACAAGAGGGAGCTCGGACTTCACGGTCAGGCCTCATTCCCAAACAGGCCATCAAGGGGTTAGGGACAGCACGTGCCTCGTACCTGCGGGCCTCCCACTCTCTTCGCTGCCTCCTCTTCATCGTCCGTTCGATCACGTCCTGACCATTGGGACAAAGGGAAAAGATGGTGGTCGGAAAGGTTGGCCAGGGCCCTCAAGAGGAGTGACTCCTCCTTCTGGGCTTATTTCTCCAGCGGGGCAGGCCTGCCACAGGGCCAGCCGGTCATCAAGGGCAGGCCAGCTCTGGGCAGAGAGGACATGGGGAACAAGAAGACGAGTGGGCATGTACAGAGCCCTTTAAATGTGGAGAAATGCTCTGGTCTACCACTCTCATCTGAGGCTCCTGATAACCCTGTGAGGCATTAGCCCCATTTTACAGATGAAGAAACTGAGGTGTAGAGAAGAGGAGAGATTGCCCACAGTCACAGAGTCATTAAGGGTCTGAGGCAGGATCTGAACCCAGCCTTCCTGGCTCTGGGCCTACTGCTCAGTCACAGGATCAGATATTTGCAGCTGGCGGGGACCTTGAAGGTCATCTAGCACAAGGCTCTCATTTTAGGAGGCAGGAGAAATGGAGGCTCAATGAAATCAAGAAATCACAGACCTCGAGAAAGAAAGGACATCAGAGGCCTCCAGTCCAAGCCTTCATTTTACAGATGAGGGTGGCAGCACAGTGGATAGAGCACCAGCCCTGGAGTCGGGAGGACCTAAGTTCAAATCCAGCCCCAGACACATAACACTCACTAGCCGTGTGACCCTGGACAAGTCACTTAACCCCAACTGCCTCACCAGAAAACAAATAAACAAACATTTTACAGATGAGGAAACAGAGGGAGGTAGAGGTTAAGTGACTTGCCCAAGGTCACACACGTGGTAAGTAGCTGAGGCTGGATTTGAACCCAGCTCTTCCTGACCTCAAGCCCGGGGCCATATCCTGTGCCACTGCTCACCTGAAGGTAGAAGAGGAGGAGGAGGAGAAGGCCTGCACTGATGCCCACTTCCAGGCCAAGGGTGGCCCACACAGAGGCGTGAGAGGCCTCGAGGGTGGCCTGGTGGGTAGAGGGCTGGCCCCAGAGTCCTCATGCTGGCCGCATGACCCTTCCCCTTGCGGTGCCCAGGCTGCTTTCGGCCTAAGCTGGCAAAGAAGCTGCTGGTCTGCACCAGGGAGGGTCTTCATCCAGACCTCCTGACACTAATGAGTGACAGGCCTTCTCTGCCTTCTCCCCAGACAAGTGACCCGAGGGTGAATGGAAACTCCTGGAGGGCAGGCAATCTTCTGTGGTTTGCCTGTGCCCCAGGTTCCCAGTACAGGACCAGGCACACCAGCACATAGTGGCTGGACCAGATTGACCTGCAGGGCACAGCCACATGAGTCTGTCCCTGCCCCAGGGCTCAGGGGCATCTCACATGCCTACAACATCTTACTGAGAGAGGGGACGTCCTTGAGATGCCGACACCAAGGACAGTCCACTAGGTGGGCTGCAGGTACCACGGGTTCTAGCTGCACATAAGTGTTGCAATACTTCACCCCCCTGCAGCCCTTGGGCTTCAAACGCTCTCCTCCCCAAGTGAACGGGACCTTCTCTTGCTCTTGGATGAACAGGAGAGGCCAGCTCTTTCCTGAGCGTGTCAGTGACTAACCAGGACTCCCCAGAACTTACAGGGGGACTGGGCTCTCAAAGGCAGGCTCCTGGACCTTCAAGGGCTGCGACTGAGAGTCAGGAAGAGCTCGCTCAAATCCACTAATGAGCCTCTCCGAGGCCCAGCTCCCTCATCGGTACAGTCGCTTGTTACCACTACTCTGCCATCGGTGTTCCTCCCCCGGGCAGCAGCAACCTCTGGGCCCACTCTGCCAACACTGATGCCCCTGAAGAAGCTTGCTAAGAAATGGGGTTTCCATCGTGACTCTGGGAAATTAGAGGTCGTCTGTGGGAAACCCGTCAATGTTTCTGGGCCCTGTGATTTAGTCAGGGTGGGGGCCAAGTACAAATATACATCGCCACCCCGAGACACAGACACATAAATACGCGCGCACACACACACACACACACACACACACGCAGAGACACACACGCACACACACATACATGCACACATACACACACGCACATGCAGACATACACATATACACAGAGAGACACACATGCACATATACATACATGCAGATGCGCATATGCACGCACACATACACTCACACACATGCACACAGACACATATACTCACACGCACACATAGACAACACACTTACACACACGTACACAAACTCACACATGCAGACACACGTGCACACACAGAGACACATGCACATGTGCGCACACACGTACATGCACGTGTAGACATACACGGAGACACACATGCACATGTAGATACACACTCACACACAGGCACATGCATGCACACAGACACACACAGAGACGCACACACATACACGTGCGCACATACACACATGCACGCGCAGATACACATACACTATACACTCACACATGCACACGCAGACATACACAGCTTCTCAGGACAATTCTTTGGCCTGAGGGCAGCCTGGGACACAGCTGGTGAGGCCCCTCCTCAGCGGGGCCAGGCAGAGCCCCAGAACCACAGAGGGCCACTACAAACACACCTCTTCAAACCGAGCGCGCTTTCCAGAAGGCTCCGACCCGTCGCTCTCGTGGCCCGACTTTTCGTCCTCGTCCTCCTCATCCTCCTCGTCTCTGAAAACGTCGTCATAGGCAGGGACTTCCAGGTCATCGTCTTGTTTGATGAGCAGCTTTATCTAAGGAAAAAGGCCGGCGGTGAGCGCAGGCAGAGCAGGCCAGCCGCTCGTGGCCTGTTTTCCCTATAGAAACAGGGCCGTCCCTGCTATAGGATGCTAGGTCCAGAGCTTGAGGGGGCCTCAGACACTATCTAATCCAAGCCCCCTCAGGCGATGGAGGAGGAAGCAGACGCCCAAGCAGGGCAGTATCATAGAGCACTAGGCCTGGAGTCAGGAGGCCCGAGTTTAAATCCCGCCTCAGTGACTTCCTAGCTGTGTGACCCTAGCACATGTCACTTAACTACTGTTGGCCTCAGTTTCCTCATCTATAAAATGGGGATAATAACAGCACCTCCACAGGGTTGTTGCAAGAATCAAATGAGGTAATAACTGTAAAGCACAAAGTAGGCACTCTGAAAATGTTATCTATTCTTATTTTTCCTCTTCTTAAGAAGCAAAGCTGAGATTCGAATGCAGGTCCTCTGACTGAATCCATGGCTCTTTTCATTGACCTAATAGGTCCACATTTCAGCTTAGGAAAAGACGGAAGCCATGCCATCTTCTAGGAGCATTTATTAAGCACCTACTATGTGCTGGGCACTGTGCCAGACACAGTGCCAAATTAATTTTATTTTTTCTAATTACAAGTAAAGACAATTTTTAGCATGCATTTTTTAAATAAAATTGAGTTCCAAAAAAAAAGATAAGAAATAAAATTTTGAGTTCCAAATTTTCTCTCTCCCTCTTTCCCCCCAAGAAGGTAAGCCATTTGATATAGGTGATATACGTGCAATCAAGTAAAACGTAATTCCACATCAGTCATGTTGTCAACGAAGACACAGAACAAAAGGAAAAAAAAGAAAGTAGGCTTTGAACTGCATTCAGAGGCCGCCGGCTCTTTCTCTGGACACGGGTCATTGCATTGCTGAGAAGAGCTAAGTCACTCACAGCTGAGCATCACACAGTGTTGTTGTTATCGTGCACAACATTCTCTGTATCACTTCATGTAAGTCTTTCCGGGTTTTTCTGAAATCCACTTGCTCATCGTTCCATCACATTCATAGACCACAACTTGCTCAGCCATTCCCCAATTCTTTGTTACCACAGAAAGAGCTGCTATGAATATTTTTGTGCATGTGGGTCCTTTCCCCATTTGTATGATCTCTTTGGGATACCGCCCTAGCAGTGCTATTGCTGGGTCAAAGGGTATGCACTGTTTTGTAGCCCTTTGGGCACAGTTCCAAATTGCTCTCCAGAATGGTGGGATCAGGGGCAGCTAGGTGGCACAGTGGATAGAGCACTGGCCCTGAAGTCAGGAGGACCTGAGTTCAAATCTGGCCTCAGACCAAACATTTGACACTTACTAGCTGTGTGACCCTGGGCAAGTCACTTAACCTCAATTGCCTTAAAAAAAAAACAAAAACAAAAACAAAACAAAACAAAAACAGAATGGTTGGATCAGTTCACAACTTCACTAATAATGCATCAGTGCTCCAATTTTCCCATATCCCCTCCAATATTTGTCATTTTCCTTTCCTGTCATATTAGCCAATCTGATAGGTGGGAGGTGGTACTTCAGAGTTATTTTAATTTGCATTTCCCTAAGCAACAGCGATTTAGAGCAGGGCCTCTTTAAACTTTTTTCACACACGCCCTTCAGTGCTTCTTAAGCTGTGGGACCCCATATGGGGTTGTGACCCACAGTTGAAGAAGCCCTGATTAGAGCATTTTTTCATATGACTATAGATAACTTTGATTTCTTCATCTCAAAACCGCCTGTTCATATCCTTTGTCCATTTATCAGTTGGGGAATGACTTGTATTCTTATAAATTTGACTCAATTCTCTATATATTTGAGAAGTGAGGCCAACATAGTTAATTTTAAAAATGAAAATGGCAATGATTGAAGAGGCATACTAATGCACCGTGGAGAGTCATACATTGGTCCAGCCACTCTGGAAAAGGAATTAGCTCCATGCCCCCAAAGTCACTAAACTGTTCCTTCCTTTTGACCCAGTAATCCTCAGCTCCAAAGAGATCAAAGAGGAAAGAGGAAACCTAAGTATAAAAATAGAGTAGCTCCTTTTCTAACAGAAAAGAACTGGGAACTAAGGGGTGCCATCTATTGCAGAATGGCTAAACATATCACAGCATGTGGACATAATGCACTATTACTGAGTCATAAGAAATGGTGAAGGGCTATTTCAGAGAAACCCAGAGGACCAGTATCATCTGATGTAGAGTAAAGCGAGCAGAACCAGGAGAACAATTTCAACAGCAACAACACCATTAGGAAGAATAAGAGCTTTGAAAGACCAGAGATGACAAACACAGCCAGAGGACAGAGGACGACACATGCCACCCACACCCCGAAAGACAGGCGACGGAATAAACATGCAGAGCGAGACCTACATTTCTGAATGGGCCAATACAGCATCTGCTTTGCTTGACTTTGAGTATCTGTTACAAGGGATGGTATTTTCCTCCCAGTGGGTGGAGGAGGTGGGAGAGAGAGAAAATAAAGCCTTGCTAATTGGAAAGGGGAAAAAAAGAGTAACAACAATATTTATGCCAGCATTTTTCTAGGGAGTCACAAGGAACTGGAAAGAAAGTGGGTGTTTATTGACTGTGGAATGGACGAATGAGCCAGCAGAACAAGAAATGGGATATAACTGTGCCACATGTGAGGATAAAGAGGAAGAATTCACACGACCTTGGGAAGACTTCCAAGGCCTGACGTAGATCGAGTAGAATAATGACGTGGTGGCTCACGATGGTGAACGACCTGACAAACCTGGGAATTCTGATCAAGTCAAAGGTCATTTGTCACCTGGGAGACATCGTCATGAAGAGGGCTTCTGCCCCACGTCAAGTCATTCGAGCCACGTCTTTTCAGACAAGGCCAGAGCAAGCGTTTACCGTTTGCTTGACCGTCCTTTGTAACAAGGACGGGCTCCTTTGGGGCAGGAACATGTCACTGGGCAGTGGCAGCCACAGCAAAGGGAACCTCAATAAAAAATTTCTTAAAGAGGGCACTTTTTAAAAGTTAGCTACCAGCTTCTTGTTCTATTTAGTGAAAATATCATCGTGCTTTTGCCAAAAACATCTGCCTAAGGCCAAGAAAAAGGTATCGCGTGTCAATTTTGAGAAAATTGTGTCAGGCAGCACAAAGTTATGAGACATAATCTGTTATTGATAACAAGTAATAAAGTTAATTAAGAACATAGTCAAGTTAAAAAAAAAACCATTGGTGCCCTGGAGAGAGCTCACCTTCCACGGCAAAGCAAGGACTTTGAGCTCTCTGACCCACGGGGTTGGGGGAATGGACCCAATCACATGTGTGGGAAATGGACAGTGACCTGCCAAGGTGACGGCGTCGAGCTTCATCTCCAGGTAGATGGCCATGCCCCTGGCAACGAGCCTCCTCAGCCGGGCTGATGCTCTGACAGCAGACCCAGAACTCAGGACTAGAAACCTCCCAGCTCAGAGAACCTGCCACATCTGGAATTCCCCTGCCATCAGGAGCCCAGACTCACACCTGTGCTACAAGGAGGATGGCAGGGGAGAAAATGAATCAAAGAAAACCTCCCCTGGCATCAAGCCACCACAATGGGTATCATATACAGGAGCCCTACAGGATCTTCAAGATGGGTGAGCCCCAAACCCTCCTGGCTGGGTTTGGGTAAGTCATTTCATCTCTTCAGGCCTCCGTCCCCTTCTGTGTAAAATGAGGTTGGACAAGGTGGTCTCTGAAGGCTCTCCCAGTCCTAGATCCTCCAGCCTGTTGATTCACTTCCAGAGGATTCACTCACCTGGGTGTCATTGTAAACGTTCACAACATTGATGGGCCGGTGGGTATCACAGATGAAGAAAATCCTGTCCTCTTCAGGCTGGAGGATATCTAAGAGGTCGACATTGGCCCCACAGTTTATGAGAACAAAATAGTGGAACTGGAAGGGAAAAGAAAATGCCATGAGCTGTGAGGTCTGACAACCAGGCCTCAGGACTAACACTACTTCAGAGCATGCAAGAGCTCTCGGGGAATACTGGGTCCAAGACCTACCTGGAGCAGCCCCAGCAAGCAGTCCTGCAGGCTCAGCCAGAGGGAAGCTCACAACCCCCCGAGGCAGCCCCCTCCTCCTGGGCATTCCTGATTGCCACCCTCCCCCAACTGTTTCTGCCCTTGGAGGATGCACAGAACAAGTGCAGCCCCTCAGCCCAGGCCGGACCTCCAGATTCTGGAAGACAGGCCGTGTGTCTCTTTTTCAGGCTCGACCTCTCCAGTCTTCCCACCAATCCTCACAGGGCATGATCTCATGATCTCACCCCGGCTGCCAATGCTCTTCTCCAAAGAGCCTCCAGGTGTGAGCTGACCAGGAAGCCACCCTCATATTTGTGGCCTCAGTCTTAAGTGATTTCATTCACATCATCATGAATACTTTGAAAATCTAACATTGTCCCAGGCTTGTGATATTTTTAAGCTAAAAAAATCAAAATCAACTTTTCAGAGTTTCCCAACCTGGTCCAAGATTCTCCCCTGCCCCCTGGACCTTCAAGGCCAAGGCCTAAAAATGAAAATTGCTAAGGAAAAAGTACATTATCTACACATTGAGTTTCAGGAGACATAAGTTACCAAGGGGAAGGGAACCCAGTTTTGTATAGACACTTGAGGATTTTAGACACCTGCCTGGATCACACTAGGCTATTCAACCCTTCAATTTCACTCCTAACTCCTGTGAATGCACCCTGCATCCCAGTGGCTGGCACGTATACTGTCAGAATAACTGGCATTTCTACGAGGCGTTAGCCACCTGATCTCATGTGAGATTCATGACCACCTGGGCAGTAGACACAACAGGTATGCCCTCCCCCACTGGGCACACGAGGAGACTGAGTGGGAGAAACAATGTGCCCAGGGTCCCAGGGATTTGCAGCTGGGCCTCTCCAGGTCCAGTACTATGACCTCTCTGTTCCAAGGGTTGGAGGCCGAGGGGTCATGGCCATGATGTGATGAACAGGCTGACATAAACTAGCAGGAGCCCAAGCCCTGGAAATGATAGATTTTAATGATTTTTTCTGTAAATGTCATCTTAATACAAAGCATCCATACCTGGTCTTTGTGTTCCAGAAATGAGGTTTCAAGTTCCTGCCACCCGGAAACGGGAACCAAAGTGTACTGGACGTGGTCACACTGGAACAAGGCCTGGGCAGAGAAGGGTGGATGTGGTCAACAGCCAGCTACGATTATTCCCACGGATTCACCTGCCCTGGACAGTGAACGCTGCCCACAGGAGAGGAGGGAGGCCCGGGCAGCAGTAAGAGTGGGGCCCTGCGAGCGTCCTTGCCTCCCCCTCCCACCACCTATTTAATACAAAAGTCCTTTTCCCTTACTTGGAAAGATCACTCACTGCACTGGTTTGGCTAATCCTTCCACAGCCCGGAGCTCTGCCCATGGAAAGGGCAGGGCTAGAAGGGGCCTTAGCAGTACGTGAACGGAACAAAGTTCTTCTATAACCCCCACCCCCACCTCAAAGCAGGCATTCAGCCTCTACCAGAAGACCTCCAGCCGGGCCCCAGAGGAGGGGGAATAGAAACCCCCCACCCTGAGGCCGCCAAACCCACTTCACCCTGACAACAAGCTGACATTTGCTATGGGGAGCTTTGCCGCTGTTCCTGCTTCTACCATCTGGGGCTGAATTAAGTCAGTTTCTATATCCTTCTATATCCAAACCCTTGATAAGAGCAAGCAGAACCCTGCCTCACCTTAGTGGACCATTCTCTGAGTTAAGGGGGTCCAAAACCCCATGACCACTCAGTGACCAGCCTTCTGGGGATGAGCCTTCCCAGACTTCACTGGTCCAGGCAAGCAGACTGCAGCCAGGCCCGGGCTGGAAGTCTTTCCAGCCTGGCAGGGCAGGCCAGCTTTGGGCTCTAAGGCTAAACCCCAAATATTTGTTGTTTTTTTTTTTGGCTAGGCAATGGGGTTAAGTGACTTGCCCAGGGTCACACAGCTAGTAAGTGTTATGTGTCTGAGGCCGGATTTGAACTCAGGTCCTTCTGAATTCAGGGCTGGTGCTCTATCCCCTGCACCATCGAGCTACCTAAACCCCACATATTTCCACCTACAATGCAAATAACCACAAAGTCACCAAGTCTTGTAACTGAGAATCACAGTAAAAGGCATTAGATTTCAAGTGCTTTGAATCTTTAATGCGGGATGACCTATACATTTTCTTCTCTTTTTGATTAGTTCCGACCAATTTTTCCCCCCTAGTCAATATTCTTTTCCTTTCCCTATAGTCCCATTGCAAGAAGGAAAAATGGATCAGCTTACCTGAAGAATTTTGCAGGCACATAATGCATCAACATCAGAAGCAACAAAGAGGAGAACTCGCTGTAACGGGAAGAATGAAAGAAAAATAGAGAATGATGGTGCCGGTATTGGAGGAAAATGAATGACAAAGTACTTACTATCTGTTAAGCTTTGAGGTTGCAAAAACAAAAGCAAAGAAAGTTGCTGCCTCCAAAGAGTTCATTTTATAAATTAAATTTCATTTTCAAAAATCAGCCTTCTTTCTCCCACTTCTCCCCCCAGCCCATCGAGAAAGCAAGAAAAACAAAATTCCTGTTACAAGTATGTAAAATCAAACAAAACAAAATTTCTTATTGGCTATGTCTAAAAAGATATGTGTCTCAACATCCCTCTGAGACCTTCTCTTCTCTATTAGGAGGTGGGTGGCATGTTTCATCATGAGTCCTCAAATGGATGGTCATTGTGTGCACGAGTTCTCAAGTTGTGTGCGTGTGTGTGCGTATACACATATTATATATCTATGTATATATGTATACACACGCACACACGAATGTGCATGTATATGTCTTAATTTTGTGCTTTTATATATACATATATAATTTTTTTAATTAGCCAAGATCTGCCTTCTCACCTTCCCACCCTAACAACTTCCCCTTTTGAGGACACAAGGAAAACAAAACCCATTATACACACCACACAGAGTCAATCAAAACATATTTTCACATTGGCCAAGTCCCATGTCTCATCCTGCATTCTGAATCCTTCACCTCTCTATCAGGATGGGAACAGCATATTTCCTCATATTTCCTCCTGGGATCCTGGTTGATCATTGTGCCAATAAGAATTTAGTGCAGCAGTGTTCCATGACATTTGCATACCATAACTTGTCCAGTCGTTCTCCAGTTTATAAGCGCTCCCTCAGATTCCCATTCTCTGCCATGTCAAAAAGAGCTATGAGTATTTTTCTGCATCCTTAGAATTTGTTTTGCCTATGACTAATCCCTCCCTTAATCTATCCTCCCTCTAATTTCCCCTTCCCTCTTCTCTCCTCTCCCTCTTACTTCATTGCTGAATGATATGTATTTCTGTGCTCACCTGTCCATGTGTGTGCACACATGCATGTATGTGTGCTTAGAGTGTGTGCATGCGGGTGTATGTATGTGTGTGTATGTATTCTTTCTTTTGACTAGTTCAGAGAAGAGTGAAGTTAAAGTGTAAGCAGCTCCTCCTATACCTTCCTTGTTTATACATGTGTCTGGCAGTATATATGTATGTGTGTGTATATGCGTATGTATATATGTATATGTACACACATACATGCACACATACACACACACATATACATGCATACATACAGAGAGATTTGCACACCCTCATTATGTGAGACAATTTCCCCTAAGTTACCTCTCCATTTCCACCCCCCCTTTTCCTCTTGCTTTTCCCATTCTTTCCCTAAGACCATCAAGATATAAGAGAACCATGCCTAGGCTTCGTCTAATTGGACTCCTTCTATGAACTCTGGTCATGACAGCATTCAGAGGGGACAAGTATATGGCTTCCCCGTATTTGAACGTAAGCAGTGTATCCATATGTAGTACTTTATCATGGTTCATTCATGTTTACCTTTTTGTTTCTCTTCACTCCTACATTGGTAATTCAAAGTTTCTCCACAGCTCTGGTCTTTTCATTAGGAATGCTTGGAAGTCCTCTGTTTCATTAAAGGTCTATTTCCCCACCTGTAGCATTAGACTTGGTTTTGCTTGTTAAGTTATTCTTGGCTATACACCTTTTGCCTTCTGGAGTATTATGTTCCAAGCTCGCTGCTCCTTCATAGTGGTGGCTACTAAATCAGGTGTGATCCTGACCATGGCTCCTCAGTACATAAATTCTTTCTTCATGACTGCTTTGAGTATTTTTTGGGGGAACCTAGAAACTCCGGATTTTGGCTATAATGTTCCCAGAAGTTTTCTTTGGGGTTTCTTTCAGGAGGTGACCAGTGAATTGTTTTTCCACTTTGCCCTGTCATTCTAAGAAATGTAGGCAGTCTTCTTTTAAGATTTCTTGAAATATTTCTGAGCTGTTTGGGGGGTATAGAGTTCAGGGCAATGATCTTTAAATATTTTTCTCCTTGATCTGTTCTCCAGGTCAGGTGTTTTTGCTATGAGATTTCTTAAACTTTCTTCTATTTTTTTCAGTTCTTAGACTTTGCTTTACTATTTATTCTTGTCTCATGGAGTCATTGGTTCTAGTTGGTCCATTCATATTTTCAGGGAGTCTCTCACTTGGGTGAGCTTTGTACCTTGTGCCAAGCAGTATATTCCCTTCCCAGTGCTTTCTCCTATAGCTCTCATTTCTTTCCTATTTTTTCCCTCAAGCACTTTCATTCCATTTATAAAAACATTTTTAAAATTTCCTATTTTTTCCCTCAAGCACTTTCATTCCATTTATAAAAAACATATATATATATTTTTAACTCTTGCTTCATCATTTCCAAACTAGTTGAGATTGTGCCCAAGCTGTGCTTTTCTCTGAGGCTTTGCTTGCAGAAGTCAGGAGTCATTCTCTTCTATGTGTCTCGAGCATCCTGCCACCAGGATAGCTCCTTATGGTGCTTTTTTTGGGGTGGCAGGGGGCACTTTTCCAGTCTGCTTACTGGCTTCAGACTGACATTCTGTGACACTTCTGGAGAAAAGATCTGGCCTGGTTCTATTCCTGCTTTCTTGCGGTATTGGTTGTTGTTTTATTCCAGGACCTCAGGGACAGGCTGGGGACCTGAAAGGTCATAGTCTTCCCAGGGTGGTCTGATCCAAGGCAAAGTCAGTTGGCTGCCCCCTGGTCTGAGCTCTACAAAAGTAGACTGATGATGGACTCTGCCCCTATAAGCCAGATGGAAAAAAAGCTCTGTTGTCAGAACTGTATGTTTCCCTTGGGTCTGGGATTCCAGACTTCTCTGTAGGCTGGGCTAGACTTGGGAGTCAGGCTCTGTTCTGGGCCTGGGGTCTAACCCACATCACTGCTGCTGCTGCTGGCTTCTGAGCTTCCTCCTTCCTCTGCATACCCCCCAGGGCCACCCTACTCTGGTAAGTCACTGCCATGCCATGGGCAGGTCCCCTTTGCATTCTGCCATGGATTTACAACATGGGCCTCAGTTGTGGGTGACAGTGGTACCTGTCCTTGTAGGAATGCCCTGACCTGGGTCTGTGAATGTCCTGGTATGGGTCTGAGATCTTCTTGCCCTAATATACAGCCCTTCCTTGGGCCCTGGGGTGAGCATCTGGGCAAGCTCAGTCCTCAGTGTCCTCAGACCTCCCTGTCTGTCTTGCTATGCCAAGCTGCACTGGACAAAGGATTCACTGTGACTTTTTCTGGATATCTCCATCAGGATTCAGTCCCATGAATTTTCTAGACGTTTAGAGAAGTTCGCAGAGAGGAGCCCACAGTATTGCTTCTTATCACTCTGCCAACTTAGGTCTGCCTCCTCTCAATGAATTTGCATTCTCATAAAGGAGCCCAGGGCTCAGCAAACATTTTTCTGTAAAGGGACTGATAGTAAATATTTTGGGTATTGCAAAGAGGCAAAATTGAGGATATTATATGTTTACATAACAAGAAAAAATAAAATTCTACAAATATTTTATTGATAAAATTCAAAATGTAACAATCATTGAGTACTTTTTTTGGTAATATAGGTCTACCACTAAGACGGCATCTTTTGGGGGGGGATAACATTTTGCTCAACCAAGGTTCAAAGTCAGTGATCCCTACCATCAAAATCGAATGCAAATGTTTACCTGTTAATGCTGCCCTGCAATTAGATTTTATGTATTTTATCTTTGAAAATGCCCTTTCATACAGATGGGCACTGCAAAATACTGACATCAACCCGCAAGCATGGGATTTTTTTTTTTGGCTAGGTTATGGGGTTAAGTGACTTGCCCAGGGTGACACAGCTAGTAGGTGTCATGTGTCTGAGGCCGGATTTGAACTCAGGTCCTCCTGACTCCAGGGCCAGTGCTCTCTCCACTGCGCCACCTAGCTGCCCCTAAGCATGGGATTTTAATTGAGCACATTTATCACTTGGAAGGCATTCCTAGAATTCTATTAGGTTCTTCTCTTGATTAATCGCTTCCAATTGAAGGTCAGGTAGAAGCTCCTCCAATGCATAGTTAAATGGATTATAAAATAGAGACATCTCTTTTGCACATTCATCAAAGTCCAAAAGCTGCTGCTGGAATGGTAGTTTGAGCTCAGAAAACATCTGCTCCCAGTTTTTGTGGGAATAGAGATTCCCATCTTGTTTCAAGTTTTGGCAGCACAGGAAGCTAGAAAGCAGTTTGAGGTTGTTACTGCAATTCCCAAGTATGAAGGCAAGAGTCAGGGAGGCGAGAGAGACTGGGAATGTGATGAGGGTCTGCACCAAGGAGGGGGCGGTGTCAGAGGAAAGAGGGGGAGGGGGCCCACAGAAGCCACATCATGAAAGGAGGATCAACAGGACTAGATGGAGGGCATAAGAGAAAATGAGGAGTGGGGGACGCTCTGGTCACAAACCTGAGTGATGGTGGTGTCATATGGAAGTTAGGAAGAGGCGAGGGCTGGGGGGCGGGGAAAGAAAATTAGTTCCATTTTAGATATGTTGAGTTTAAGATGTCTAAGGAATATTCAGGTTGAGATGTCTACTATGCAGTTGGAGACGTGAGACTGGAGGTTGGGAGGAAGGTTAGGGCTGGGCATATAGATCAGAGAATCATTTGTCCACAGATTGTCACTGAATCACCAAGTGAAGTGCTACAGAGGGAGAAGAAAAGCGGGCCCAGGGCAGAGTCTTGTGGGATACGACAGTGAGCAGGCCCAACCTGGATGAAGAGCCAGCAAAGGAGGCTGAGAAGGAAGTTGAGAGAGGAGAAGCAGGAGAGAGCCATGTCCCAAAAACCTGGAGAGAAGAGAGAACCCAGGAGAAGAGGGGGATCGGCAGTGTCCAAGGCTGCAGAAAGGTCCAGGAGAGTGAGGATGGAGAAAATGCCACTGGATTTAGCATCTAAGATTCAAGTAACTTTGAAGAGAGACATTCCAGTTGAGTGATGAGGTCGAGGTTAGCTTTGGCAAGGAGTAAGACCACCTCTTCATAGAGATGGGGTGGAGGAGAGTCGGCCAGTGGCTGATAGGAGAAGAGATTGCACACGCTGAATGGCCTCCATTTTTTCCATATAATATGAGGTAGGTTCTCAGCTGAGAGGGTGGGAGGAGGGGGAGCCATGGGAGGATAAGAAGGTTTGGAAGAGTCACTGTGGAGGGTAAAAGGGTTGATGAGGATTGCCGAGCAGCAGGCTTGCATGCTGGGTCCATGAGGACCCAGGTGAAGTTGAGTAACCAACGTGTAGTGGACCCAATCAGAATAGCTGTGTAATAGTCTCCAGCTCCACCCAGGAGCACCTGTGTAGGGGTGAAGGCAATGAACAGAGGGGTTAATTAAGGGCTGGAATCCCAGGTCCTCGCTGACTCCAAAACCCAACCCTATAGGCATTCGGACAGGCCGCCTCTCCAGGAAGTATTCACCATGCAGACTTCCTGAGCTCTCCCCTCCTCAGAGCTCCCAAAGCGCTCTGCACTTCTCAGAGCCCTCATCGTGCTCCCCCAGGCATCACTGTAGTTATACATCAAGGTCTCCTCTCCCCTGAGGGAGGAGGAGCTCCTCAGGCCGGGACGACATATTTCATCCCCCCAAAGCCAGAGCACGTAGCAGACCTTCAGGAAATGTCTGACAGGAGCTGCTCTCCTGAGCCCATCAGGGGGTTGTCACTCTCCTTCCTCCTCACTGGGCTAAGAGGACATGGTGTCTGCTTGTTTGCTCATCTGTACACAAAACGGGGAGCATCGGGCTCTCCTGTTTGCATGCAAGCACTTAACCCTGTGCTCGGGCTGTATAAGCGCTTCATTCCTTCACTCCAGAGAGACTTGGCCCCAGGACCGCAAAGACACATGGTCACAGCCCGCTTCTGACATGTGCTGGCTGCGGGCTCCTTCGCCCATGACTGCTCTAGCCAGCAGCATCCTTGTCACTGCTGCGATTATTTTTCCTAGTACTGTTATTATAGCTAGCATGTGCATAGCACTTGAAGGTTTGAAAAGCACTTACTTATTTTATCCTCACAACTCTGGTTGTCAGGTGGTATTATTATCCCTATTCTTACGGATAAGGAAACTGAGTCAGGGAGCGGCTAATCGACCTGCCCAGGGTCACCCAGCTAGGACATGTCTGAGGCCGCATTTGACCCCAGGACTTCCTGAGTCCAGGCACAGCACCCCAACCACCAAAACGCTTATCTGCCTCTAGCTGGTGGAAGGAGTTTCCACACTGGCAACTTTCTTATATCAGAAAAATCAAGGGTCTAGCCCTGAGACCTCTGTGTGTAAAAACAGAATGTAATCTCCTTGGGGGCAGGGGCTGTCATTCTACCTCTGTATCCCCCATGGGAAGGAGAGATCTAACATAGAGCAGATGATAATGACTCGCTTAATCGCATTGAATTTCTGAAAGAAAAACCCCTCTCCACCGGTCTGAGAGGCCTCTGCCACCTCAAGGGCGAGCAGGCAGCGTTCAGCACCAAGGACAGATCCGGGGCTTGCCTTCCCTAAGTTCACGGTCGATGCCAGCATAGGCAGAGTGCCACACACAAGCCACAAAAGAAAAAACGTGCCTTGGGAGAGACAGGCCCGGAGAAATGATTAGGCAGCAAGGGGACACAGTGGGGAGAGCATTGGGGCTAGACTCAGGAAGACCGGAGCTCAAATCCAGCGTCAGAGACTTCCTAGCTGTGGGACCCTAGGAAAGTCATTGAACCTCTCTGCCTCAGTTTCCTCAATGGTAAAATGGGGATGATAAAGGGGCCGCCCTTCCCAAGGCTGTTTGGAGGAGAAAATGGGATTTTTGTAAAGTGTTTTGCAAACCTTACAGCCCCAAACAGAAATACTAGGATGGTTCTTATTCCAGGGCAGGGGAAGGCTCCCTGGTGGGCAGAACACTTAAAGTGGGCTTTAAAAGGGGTAAAATCACGATCCCCAAGGGCTGAGGGTGAAACAAGCCTCGGCTTCTTGGCAGAGGGGACGGTGTCCGAGGGTCCAGAAGAGAGACTCTGTTTGTTATGGGGGTGGGGTCCAGTCAGAGGTGGGACTAGGCGAATATCAATCAGACATTTTTAAGTGAAAGAGGAGAGGCTCAGAGTGGCTCCTGGGGGCTGCTCCACCACCTTTCTCCTGCCCATTCAGACAAAGAGCAGAGGGGCGGGAGAAGGGAGCCCCTTCTCTCCTGGGAAGCTCTGGGCTGACGAGCTGGGGCTTCCTGTGACCACTACACACTGGGACCACGCAAAGCCCCCTCCCTGAGAAATACAGACATTGTGGTGAAGGGGCAGGGGTGCTGTGAGAAGCCTTTGCTCTTCTGGAGCAGAAGATCCTGACTATGAATCCAAGTTGTATTTCTTTAAGAGACAAAGGGCAGGCCAGCCTGGGAACCGTGATGACCTGGGTTCAAATTCTCCCCGTGTTATACACATAAAATACTGGGAAGGTTAACTAACATCTCCCAGCCCCACACAACCCTCTAAGGCTCTAAATGCTAATGAGGTGCTGGTCTGCACTGGGGACAAAAGCTCTCACTGGGAGTCCCAAACAACCTCTTTCTTCCAGGACTCACTGCACATGACTCCCCTTCATAGACTTTATGTTCCAGCCCAACCCACCCCCTGGATGTTCTTCACACGACAACTGTCCCCCCAGTCTAGAACACACCCCTGCCTCCTCTTAGAACCTTTAACCTCCCTTAAGGTGCAGCTCCAGAACCACAACCCACGCTTATCCTCCCCCAATGTCCAGCAATCCAGCCCTCCACCGAAGGAGAGCTCAGGATGCCTGGGATGACCCCTGAGCTCCTGCCCAGACATTCCCAGCTTGAGGGCCCCTTCCCCCAAGCTGGGACATCCCGTCTTCTAAGGCCTTTCTCTCAGCCCTGATATTCCCTGTTCCAAGTCCCCTCCCAGCTCTGACATCCCCTGTTCTAAGCTCCCTCGCCTCTCTGACATTCTCTGTCCTAAGGCCCCCCCCCAGCGCTGACATCCCCTGTTCTAAGCCCCCCTCCCAGCGCTGACATTCTCGGTCCTAAGGCCCCTCCCAGCGCTGACATTCCATGACCCTCCCCCTGCCCGCCACGGCCATTCCCTGTTCTAGGTGCCCAGGCGCCCTCTTTTCTCCCGTCTCTCCCATGCACTCACCTCCGTTTCAATCACGTCGTAGAAATCCCGGCGAAAGTCGGTCACGAACATGGCGCGGGCGGCGAGCCCGGAGTCAGATTCAGACTCGGACTCAGACTCGGTCAGGACCCAGGCTAGGCGCAAAGGCGCGGAGCAGGAAGCCCCTCAACACTCGCGCCAAAATTGGCCTCTTCCCATTGGCTGCAGGCCGCTCACCAATCGCCGCTGCAACCGCGGAGCTTCCTTAATTGTGATTGGAAAAGCGTGAGGGGCGGTCCTTAAAGTCCAGCCAATAGCCATTTAGAACCTCCTCCCTCACGTTCTGGGCGATCACGCCCCTGCAGGAGACAATTCATCTTCAGTGTCCTTGTTTTGTTGTGTGGACTCTCACTGTCATTCCGGAAGTTCAGGCGCCATCTTTGTTCTGGGCAAACAATCTGATTTCTCTTCTTCCTCAGCACTCTACCACAGAAAAAAACCTTACTTGGGACAATGCCCCGTTCAGTAAAAATCATGTGAGCCACTTCAATCGTGTCCAGTCAAGATTTTCTCCTTCTTCGTCTTCTCTGTCACCTGTGGATTGTTTTCGAAAGTAGCCCCCTTCACTTCCGCCCAAGTTCGCAGTGAAGAGGAAGTAGGGCGGCTCTGCTCGTTTAGTACTCTGGGTAGTGTAGTCTTCAGCGGGAGAATGGGAACTACCATAGCATCCTTCGTGGGGGGGAAATGTTGTTCAATGGGAATCCAAATCTTCGCTATAAACAAAACGCGATCTTTAGTGAATGGGTGGTGAAGGACACACTATCTATTTATGAGCCAAAGGGAGGGATGCGCTTGGCTGGATCTGTCCTCCTCAATCCCTAGTCCTCCTTCCGCTCCCCCCCGACTCAGATGAGCCACTTCCGGCGGGCGCTGCGCAGACGCGGCTCGGGCCGAGGCTCTTCGGGCAGGTCGCTCGCTCTTCCGGCTGGGCTTTTCTCTTCAGGAGCCGCAGGCTCCCGCACCGTCTCCAGCGATGGTAAGCGCGCCGCCGCCAGGCCCTGCTCCCCGGCTCCCCGGCTCCCGAGCCCGGGAGGCTCGCCCGCGGCCTGAGTCACTGGGGCCCCCGGGCCGGTGTGACCGGCGCAGGGCTCGACCTTCCAGACGTCGGGAGGCGGCCGCGCGCCCCGCCCCCAAGGCCCGCAGCCCTTGGGGAAGGAGAGGCGGCCGCCCCTTTGCTTCCCCTCCCCCGCCTCAGTTTCCCCGGCCCCTCAGATCAGATGGTGGGCGCCCTTTTAAAGCGCCTTTGGGCCCCCCCCAAGCCTCCGCGGGGTGTCGTGGAGGGAGCGAGGGAGGGCCTGGGGTCCAGAAGTGTGGAGCGCGGACGGTCCTAGCCGCGTGACCCTGGACACGGCCTGCCTCAGTTTACTCCTCTGTCAGATGGGGACGAGAGCAGCACTCGCGCTCAGGGCTGTTGGGAGGATCAAACGGGATCTTCCCTTCCTCCCTTTACTTCGGGGGTGTCACGTCAGTGGGAACGATGACGCGTTGGCCTCAGTTTCCTCTTCTGTAAAATGGGGGTCGGAGTGGCTCCTCCCTCCCAGGGTTGTGAGTCAGATGAGGTCGTATTTGTCAGCTTAGCCCAGGGCATACAGCAGGCGCCACATCAGTGTGAGCTGTTAACAGCATGACCCGAAGCCCGGAGGGGCTGCAAGTTTGCCCACCTTCTGGGCGATCACGCTGGACACATGAACACACGGACGTACCGTGTACGTAGTCTGCACGTGTGCATCCCCATATATACACACGTGCAGCCGTCTTACCTCACCCACCCCAGGCCAGGGCTGTCTTCATCCCCATTTTACAGATAAGGAAGGGGGCCGACAAGGTGAGGGATGCTGTGACTTTGCCCAGGGGCACACAGCTAGTAAGCACTTGAAGCACAATTTGAACCGTCAGCCTTTGGCTCCAAATGTTGTAACATTCCCACTGTGCCACCTCCTCCACCCCCAGCACTGGATTCAGGGTCTGGAAAAGAGCTGAGTTCGAATTCTGCTTCAGACCCTGGTTTGAGGACCCTTCTCTGCAAAATGGTGTTAATCAGGGAGTTCCTTTGAGGGCAGGGACTCTCTTTTGCCTCTTTTTGCATCCACAGCGCCTGGCACAGTAGGAGGTGCTTAATAAAAGCTTGTTGATTGACCGGGTGATTAATGCCTCCCGAGGCTGAGATGGCACCTTAACGAGTGGCAACTATGGCCCCTACGCCTAGCTGGGGGGAGGAGGGGATGCCTTTTTGGCTCTAGACCTGCCATAGATGTTGTCCTGCTCTTGGGAGTTAGCTTCTGGAAAGTCGGGTCTCTCGGTCTTTGGGTGCCCAGCACCCAGTTGACTTGAATGCAGAGGATCAGAGTAGTAAGAGTATTGATTGAGTGATTGACAGAGGTGACCATAGGCCAGCCAGGTTTGTCCAGTCTCACCCAGAGAGAGCCAGGGAGCTGACAAGGTTGTAGGAAAATTAAATCCAGCTCCTTTTGTCTCCTCCTTCAAGGCATTCTTTTGGTTCAGTCATTTATTTCTTCCCGATTTATAGTCACCGAATCTCATAGCCAGCAGACCCCGTTGGGCCTTCTCAGAATCACTTTACCGAGAAGGCGGGGGATTCCCAGAGGTCACGCAGCTTCAGGCCAGGGAGGTGTGAGGCCCAGCTTGTAGCCAGGCTCTTTCCGTTACCCCATACTGCCCCCCCCTCCTGGTGTTCAGGACCCCATCTGCTAGAGGGAGCTGGCCGTGGTGGCTCATCCTGGCTCTGACACTTGCCAGCCTCACCTGCCCACAACCTGGAGGTTTATTTGACACATTGTGGTGGGGCTGTGAACAGGGTGTGGCGGCACCACAACCTGGGCTCATGGCTTGTTTCTGGCACTTTCCCAGCTGTGTGACCATGGTGGGCAGAGCTTCCACTGCTCTGGGCTTCCCTAAGCCTCGGTTTCTCTCTCTGTAGAATAGGGCTAGTCGTGACAGGCATTTATTAGGCCTCCTGTGTGCCAGGGACCGGGGTGGAAATACAAGCATGGAGCAGCCCCTCTTCACAAGGCTCTTTTGATCCCTCCGTGCACTGTTGCTAAGAAGTAGTAGCAGTTGACACATCTTAACGGAAGCTGCTCCTCTTCTTCCCTCTGCGTGGGCTCTGCCGCCCACGACGTGGTCCCCGTCCCAGCGTGTCTTAGCTCTGCAGGCCTTCTCAGACTGTTCTGGGAGGTCTCACTATATCAAGACCACTTTTTGCCTCAGACTCCTTTCTCCTCGTAGCCGTAAGGAGCAGTCCTCCTGCCTGACTGTATTTGTTTAGGTCTGCACAGTGGCCATTAAGCTTGGTTGTGTCCAGGGCCCTGTGCCGTGGGAGCTGTGGGAAAGACAAGCTTGGCCTTTGTGAAGTGAGGCGTTAAGACCCATCCGGAATTAGAGTTATCTGCGTGTGGCGGTCAGTAAGCATTTATTAAGCACCTCCTGTGTGCTAGGCTCTGGGGATACAAAAAGAGGCAAAAGACAGTCCCTACCCTCAAGGAGCTTATGCTCTAAGGGGGATCACATGCCAACAGCTATAGATAATAATACAATAGAGGTAAATTTTTTTTCACTGCTTCTTTGAAGAGGTGACCATTGGCTGGGGTTTTAAAGTATTGGTCATTGTTTAGTTGTGTCTGACTCCTTGTGGTCCCATTTGGGGTTTTCTTGGCAAAGATACTGGAGTGGTTTGCCATTTTCTTCTCCAGCTCATTTTGTAGATGAGGAAACGGAGGCAAACAGGGTGAAGTGACTTGCCCAGGGTCACACGGCTAGTAAAGTAAATGTCTGAGGCTAGATTTGAACTTGGGTCTTCCTGACTGCAAGCCCGATGTTCTATCCGCTGTGCCACCTAGCTGCCCATAAAGGTTAGGGCCGAATTTAGCACTGGGAAGAGACGGCATCCCAAGCGTAGGAAAGCACTGGAGCCTGACGTGTTCAGTAGAGAGCGGGCAGGTGCCCAGCTGTAGTGTACTGGATGGGGAAGAAACCAAAGATGCTGGGCCGGCTGACCTCTGCTGCTGGTGGAGTGAAGAGCTCGAACGGGAGGCCAAAGGCTCAAGGATTCCAACCGGGGAGGGGCCCTGGAAACCTCCGCATCAGTCAGGGACACCAAGGGAAGGAACTTGCTGGGGGTCACCCAGGCAGAAAATGTAAGGGGAAGAGCCAGGAGTTCAGAGTGGGACCATGCTGCCAGAGGGGATAGAACTGAGGCCCGGGAGTGGAGACTGACGAGGTGGAGGGACTGGCCAGCCCGGGAATGGGGCATGACTGCTGCTTTGATGTGAAGGCCCTTGGGGCAGCTAGGTAGCACAGTGGATAGAGCACTGGCCCTGGATTCAGGAGGACCTGAGTTCAAATCCAGCCTCAGACACATAACACTTACTAGCTGTGACCCTAGGCCAGTCACTTCACCCCATTTCCTAGCCCCCCCCCCAAAAGGGGATATGAAGGCCCTCGTTCTTGAAGGGGCCAGTGCTCAGAGACAGACAGGAGAGGGATGGAGTCTGCCCCGGCCTCTTTGGAACAGGGGAAGTGCCCCCCACCTGTGCCAAGCAGTGCCTCTTCCACTGGTGACTTGCCCCGGGTCCCATGGCCCAAGGCAGGGCTTGAATTGGGCAGCCCAATCTCCACTGTGAGACCAGCCACCTCCCAGAGGCTTCTCTGGTGGTGAATGGTAGAACGAGAATTAGTCTTGGGCGCGGTGAAGGCCCGGGGTCATTGGGTTCCAGGACGTACTTTGTGCCCCTTCACAAGCCACCTAACTTCTTGAGCCTCAGTTTCTCCCTCTGTAAGATGGGGGTGGTAATAGACAGACCCCTTACTTCAGGTGGTTGTGAGAAAAGCGCTTTGTAAACCTTCCAACGCTATGAATGGGATGTGTTATCATTGCCCAGTAATGACCAAGGTGAAATGCTGGTGGGAGGTCACTCTGGGGCCATGTCCCTGGCCACAGTGTGCAGTGCTCACCCTGAGATTGAGAGAAATGGTTATTAAATAACAAATTGTTGGGGAGATCTCTGACCTTTCCCCAAAATTGACTGCTCCTAGACTATCCTATCTAGGTGGGGTTGTTGCCCCAGCCAGCTAGAAAACCTTACACAGAATTTAATCTAAGGCAGGTTGCGGGGGGGGGGGGGGGGGGGGGGGCGGAGTGGAGTGGATTGGAGTGGAGCCTTCATCTAGATTGTCCAAGGCTGGGAGTGATTTGGAAGTAAATGATTTGATCAGAATCCCCCAGCCCTTATTATAATATTCGTTCTCTCTCATTACTTGTTAACCAATTGGAGTTGATTGCCCCCACAGGAACACCTTCTCTTCCAAGGATGTATACGTGTTGAGTGTCACCGACCCCTTTTATTAATTATATAGTAGCATAATTAATTACCCAGAAACTATGTCTCTCGAACTTTTTATACATCACAGGATAAGTAATGTTTTCCCTGACTCTCTTGCCTGTGTGCCTCCTTAGGAAAAGGTCAGCTGGCGAAGAAGTTGCCAAGACCCAGAGTGGGGCTGAGCTGTTTAGTTCCAGTGGAGAGATCTTGGAAATTGTCTCTTCTGCTAATGGAGACTTCTCATAGAGGGTCAGCCCCACTGCTTACTGGCTGGGTGACCTGACAGGACCCTGAGTTTCTGGGGTTCCATTTCCTCCTCAGTAAAATGAGGGCCTTGCATTAGCTCAGGGCTTCTCAAACATTTTTTTTGCGTGTGTCACGGACCCTTCTGGCTACCTAGTGAGGCCTCTGGACCCCTTCTCAGAATAATGGAAGTCATTTGAGCTAGCCA